TACCATAAAGTGGCACGATGAAAATGTTCACGTTCGAGCACGAGGGATTAACGACCCCTTTTCGTCATTGAGCAAGAAAGTGACGGGAATGAAGTGAACGAGGCATATTCCTAGTCTATCGGGAACTGATCGGCGCGATCGTATATACCGGTTTTTGTAATTACACAATTCCATTCACGCGGGAGTGCTAATACATCGTCTATTTTTATCGATATCGAAGTCGTAATAATCGTCTTTTGTTCGCGTCTCGGAAATTTCTTCACGCGCAATCGGATCATTCCCGAATGGGAGGCTAAAGCTCGCTGACGCGAAATTCCCACGGGCTAATCCGCGAATTATGTTACGATTAGAACCATGAAATGGCTCATAATATACCGTTTTCCCTCGGGGCGAAAACAGATTTTAATTAAAAATTTTCTTGAATCGCACGTGTAGCCCGATACGATTAGCCGAAAGCGGATTATGAACTTGGGGAAGTCTCATTTAATTGATTATCAAAATAATTAGAGCTTTATTTAATTATTATATATTACATAAGACTATCTCTCTTATGTAAATAAATATTACTTTATCAAAATAATTAGAGCTTTATTTAATTATTATATATTACATAAGATTATCTCTCTTATGTAAATAAATATTACTTTATACTTTCTTGCATTAATCTCTAAACAGATAACATGATAATAAAAAGTTGCACTTTTCATGTAAAACGTTAGCGACTTTTTAAAATAATTAAAATAAATTATTTGAAACGGCTATTAGAGCACGTGTTTTTTTCTACCTAAAAGTAGAGGTAAAAAGTAATATATTTAAATTAATATTTAAATTAATATATATAATAATAATAATTAATATATATCTCTCTCCAGATGCTTCCTGCGTATAATTAATATACATATGTTTACTCATTCTCAGTGGAAATTAATTAGGTTTAAAGGCAAAATTTCGCGAATGCTGTGAAATTCAAAAATTTCACGTATCACTTTATGCGAGAGAGGAACAACGACGATGTGCTGCGTTGGGCCGATCTGTTTTTTCCGACGCTTCGTGTTCAAACTGTTCCCTCTTTCTTTCTCCTCTCTTCCCTTCGGCATTTTTTACTCGGGTTGGCAGTTCATACGTTGGCTGTACGTGACGTCGCCGGGATATACGTTATCCGGCGTGGCGAGCGAATGTGATAGCGTAGTGAAAAGCTTGCGTACCTTTTACCGGTTTGGGGCGAGCGCAAAAAAAATTTATTATTCGTTAGCCAGCCCCCGATATTTCCCCGGGCGAATCCGAATGCGAATATGCGACGCGCTTACGCGCCGACGAAGAGCGAACGAAAATTCAAACGTGCGTATGACCCACTTGTCGCGGTCGATCGATGAAATTCGATTCTACTATCTGCGTATCGTGTTCTCGACTCCGGCAAAGTACGTACGACTGTGCAAGCCAACGGCAATAATGACTCTAATGGCAAAATTGTAGAATTGCAATCCTGTACAAATCGATGGTTTGCAAGCGCAGTCGGCTCGAAACCCTTTGACTCTTAAAACGCGTTTCATTTTTTTCGAAAATAATATATAATTATTACATTAATAATTATTTTAATAATTATATATTAAAATAAATAATATATATTAATAATAATATATTAATAATTAAATTAATAATTATTTTAATAATTATATAATTATTAAAAATTGTAAAAAGATAATTGTAAAAAGATTTTGCCAGGATTATACGTGTATATGTATAAGATAAAATATACATACATACGTATTGCAGGCGGAATATATTCGCGAATTATGTTAAATCGGAGCAAAATCTGATCAAATATATCGGAATCTTATATCTTTGTGCATAAATGGCATGACCGCGTTACGCAGAGGGAAAGAAACAGAGAGAACACGCGATATTGTACCCGTAAATTCTAAATAAAATCATAAATGATGCAACGACATTCTCAATCTGTGAGAGATACAAGTTTAAATACATCTACGATTCTAGGGTTATCGTGAGGAGGGCGTTCGGCTAATCTCATCAAATCGTCAAACATTTACAAGATATGAACAGGCCCGTAGTAATGCCACGTATACCAGATGTAATACTTGGACGCGTAACCTAGATGACCATAGGAGGCGGAAAACGAACCTCCTGGCTACGCGGACGTCGTCCATTATTTGCGATATAAAGTGCAACATTATCGAACGGCCGCTGGCGGGCCATGAATTCATTCGCTGAGCTTTTCTCATATATTTTCGTGTATTTTTCTTCCGGAGTTGCCGAGCCGCCTGTCCCCCTTCTCGCGCAATCCCCGAATAAATGGTCGCGATATACCGGCTTCTGTAAATAGCGCGCGCGATGCGGATGCGCCTATACATCCAGAATTATGATCGATACATCCTTGATACATAAATGCCCGACCGTAAATGTTTCATGCTCGAGCGTAAAAAAAAAATGATAGGAAAAAAAAGACGTGACGTGCATAGAAAGCGCGTTGATACGTCTGTATAAGTTATAAATGAAATGATGGGGAAAAAAAAATAAAAAAATATTCTTGCGCAAAAGCGCAGCAATTCAGATTTCGACGCAATTTTAGAAATACCTGTTCTCCAACTAGAACGCAAAATTTTATGGTAATGCCTATAACGTAATATAACGTTACGTTATATTACGTTTTTATTAAGTTCTTTTGAGAATCCAGCTGAAATTTTCAGGAGGCAATTTTCATTTTTTGAGTTCGAAGGTTTATATGCAGTATCTTTTATTCCAACTATAAATTTTTGACTAGAACTTTTGCGCATTCGCTCTCTCCCTCTCTTTCTCTTTCTCTCTCTCTCTCTCTCTCTCTCTCTCTCTCTCTCTCTCTCTCTCTCTCTCTCTCTCTTTCTCTTTCTTTCTCTTTCTCTTCCTGTCTTGGATCTGTATTCTGATAATCCAACATGAATGACAACTTTGCACAAGGTAAAGAGAAATTTGCTCGTTTATTTGTTTTTATTAGATATGCCAAGTTCTTTCTAAAGAACTACCGCACTCTGAAGATGAATAATATTATTAATGCGACATCAGCGTATATTATATATGAGAGAGAGAGCGTAGATATTAAATGTTAATCAGTATAAAATTATTACGTAATTATACAAAAGAACTTATTTAAATATCTCAGAATTTTCAAGCACATGAAATATTGGCAAAATTATCGGTATATTAACGCGAATATCTCGTTTTCCTCCATGAATATACATATATGATATTAATACACGCAATGAAATATTTGGTTTATATTTTTTAAATGAAATATTTTATATATAAAATACATAAAATCATGTTTTATATAATATTAATATAATATATAATATTAATATATAATATTAATATAATATGTAATATTAAATATATAATATTTTATGTACTATTAATATAATATCAATAAAATTTCATAAAAGGCTTAAAGGACCAGCGCAATGGTGAAAAGATGCGAAAATAAAAACGGTTATATTAATATAATAAACCTAATAAAACGTTTATTTGATTTAAGTGACAGACGCTGCATTTCGATCCAATTCGGAATACTGTATTTCGTGATTTGACATTGAAAAGGATCCGAATTGGATTGAAATGCAGCTGTCACTTAAATCAAATAAACGTTTTATTAGGTTTATTATATTAATATAACCGTTTTTATTTTCGCATCTTTTCACCATTGCGCTAGTCCTTTAAGCCTTTTATGAAATTTTATTGATTTTATCCTACCTTTTATCGGACCTTTATTTCATTATAATAATTTTAATATATTATGTAATATTAAAATAATATTGATTTTATATATAAAATATATAAAATAATGATACAATATTTTATGTACATTTTTTTGTGTAAAATATTTGTGAAAAATATTTCACGTAGCATACATATATAAACAATACTAAAATTTATCGATTCGTGATATTCTAATTCTGAGAGTAACGATTGATTTGAGGATGCACTCGTGGAATCGTCACGAATCAATAAACTGGGTTATGGTTACACACTTCTTGTTGCGGATATCGCATAGTGTAATTTGCATGCCGATACTCGAGAGATAATTTTCCAGATACGATAAATCGTGCGATTCACGAACCGAATAATCGGTACATTAACCTGGCGAAATACTCACGATATCTATAATTTTCTCTGATACCTAAGATACGTATATCGAGTATTACAATACTTGCTTCAAACGTTCGCGTGATACAATAGAAATAAGAAGAAATATATGTATCAATGAGAGAACATGTTATATTATCCGCGCTTTTCTAAATATATTCTTTTTATATGCGTATCTTCTTTATGTGTGTTGTGTGTGTGTGAAAGAGAAAAAAAAGAAAGGGAGAAAGACAGGGAAAATTAGCCGGGGCTGTTAAATTTTCATATTAAATGCGATTAAAATGGAAACATTACACAACTTGCGGAGGACATTATTTTGTTGTCTCGTTAAATGTAATTTAACATCTCGTACAATAGAGAGATGAATTATTAAATTAAATTAAAGATACGTTAATTATAGATAACAGGCATTGTCAAAATATTATATTATTCATCAGGGTTTAACGTGAATATATTTCGAGACTATCCCGATAACCACATTACTCTAGACCAATATTTGCGTTATACGATTATGTTAATGCACGAGTGCACAACCAATTCGAATCTCAATGCGAACTCTCGCGCGCCATTTATTCAGCACAGGTGTTAACACTCAATGATAATCAACAATGGATGCGTTGAAGGACGTTAATTCGAAATTATCAATCGATCTGTCAGATAAAAATGTAGATCGGTTGTACCATCCGTGCGTCTCGACGAATAATTTATCCCGTCATTTACCTCTCGTCCGTCACTTTACGCGATTATGGGAAATTTCTCGCGCGAGAAATGACAGACTTCATTACATATATTTCCCGTGTCCATTAATTTACAATTTAAACGCACCATGAGTTACTATCGGTATTCATGAACAAGTGCGTACTCACCTACGCGTGTCTCCAGCAGTTATGCTCCTGCGGTGAATATCCACGGGGATCACCACGATCAATGAATCGGTCCAGATGAGGTTCCCCAATCGATAAACCGCCTGCGGCTTGCTGCGCAAGCTGTGTTTCGAAGTGTTTTCGGATCGCGCGCCGATCCGAATCGATCGTGAGAAGATCGCAGAGCCCCGGTTTTACCGCCTCACATTTACTACACCGCGGGACTAGCACATACTGGCTGACCGTCGGTCTGCCAGGTAAGCCTTCTCTCTCTCAAGGTTTCCACCAAACTCGCGTTTCCCCCCCACGAATCCGCGACAATTCAGCGGAAGAAAGTAGGCTTCGCCTGACCCTTCTTATTCCGTGAATCGACTTCGCTATTACTCGCAACACGAAAAAGTGCCGGACCGATCGCGACCGGTGCTTTCCACATCGTGGAAAGTTATGAGCGATGTTAAACTCGCGCCGGGAAATGCGATCTCGCGCGATCCACGGACGCGGAACCACCTAAATTTTAATGCGCGGCACGCGTCTCCTCTTCTGTGCCAGCTGTATTCTATTTGTGAATTTTTCCGATAACGAAACGCACGCCGAAAATTTCTCATTAGACAAAAAATCGAGACTAACGCATTAAGGCTAATGAATCCTGATATATTATTTTTTGCAACAGACTGCGAAATACCATACGTTGCGATCTCGATTTTTCACATTCAGTTTCCAGCGGCGAACTGTCAGTTTAATTGACTATTGAGAGAAAGCACATGAGATTTTCGAGAAGATTGCTGCATCATTGCTTCTTAATCGAGAATTTTTCAATCTCTCTTTCCTAGATTTAGCTATAATACGGATGAAAGATTGCAACAACGTGCATTCAGAAAAATTATTTGATTGATACCAATAAGATGTATCCGATAGAAGGCATTTTGATTAAAAATCAAATAAAATTTCTAGTTATCAAGACTCGATTTTTTTTAGAACTAGAACGTTTAATAGAATTTACTACAAGGATTTGGTTAGTATTTTTTAGTTGGATCTATAAAAGTTCTTGTTATATTAATTAGTTAATAATATGGATACAGTGATGCCATTTTTTTGCAAATTTAGTTATTACTCAGAAAATTTGATAAATTTAACAGAAAGAAATTAATTATACTCACTTGATAATTCCTAAAGGAATTCTGATTCGTCGTTTTTCAACAGACATACTAATTGAATATATTAGATTCCTAATTAATGCAACCAGATTTTTTTCTCAGTGCGAGCATCCTTTTAAAAGGAAAAAGAAACGTTTTTTTCGAAGAGTCTCATTTTCTTTCGAGAATGGCGATTCTTCGAATGTCACTAGATAATTAATACATCGAAGCGCGAGATTCTGGTAGATGCAGATACCGCGAAGAGTCTTAGGAAAAACTGCTCCATCGTAAGCCGCTTAATTGCGAAGGCTGCAAAGATAATGATAAGAATGATAGCCGGTAGAAGAGGAGGCCGATACTCGAGAAACTAACCGTAAAATCATCGTACCATTTCTGCCTTCCGGGATTTCGTATTGTTAGCTTTGTTATTGGCCTCAGCCACGACTTTTGAGCAATGGCGAATAATTGGCGTGGCCCTCGCGAAATTCCCTCGCGAAGTATAATAAGTAGATTCATTGTTATTCGTGTGTGAAACTATGAAGCAATAAGATGAATATATTATGTGCGAGTCTGGAACTCAAAGACATGTTAATATCCCGTGCTGTTGGTGTATTATTCGCGATAAACATCAAAATATACGCATCCAAAATAGAAATTCTAAAATAAGAACTGGGCAATGTACATAAAATAAGACTTTTTAGAGAGTAGAATGTAAACAAGTATGTGCCTTATGAAAGTCTTTCAAATTGACGATTTCTTTGCGTTTTATGCGCTTTCATATCAGAAAAAAAACGGATCTGACAAATTATTAGTCCATTCTTGCTCCGAACGCTTAATAATTTGCGCGCGTTTCATCTATGAAAGGGAGTAATAACGTAAAAGTAACAATGTAATCGTCGAGATGTAGCCACAAATGACGGCCACTTTATAATCATTAGCGAGAAAATTCAATTCTTGAATAATGACGTGATAGCCGGGGAGCATCCACGATCTCATCTTGCGGTCCGGAGGACGGATGCGGCAGGGATGGGAGAGACAGATTGCATGGCGCGAGCTGGAGATGCGAAAAGGGGGGCACGGCTCTGTGTTATGACATAATTGCTTAAGAAAGTTCGGAATGCGAATGTGTACGCACACATACACACATATTCACACATGCTCGAGGCAGAAGTAGCCCATGCCGTTACGTACGTTTCGTAAAACTTACCCCCCTCCCCCCTTACGCGTCCTGCTATAATCGCCATCTGCTTTTTCTTGCTCCCTTTTGCTGGAGCAGATATAATTGTATCGTGCCCCACGCACAGGAACGTTGGCATTTCGTCCTCTGCATTTTTGCGCTGCCAGTGACCTTCCCCTACTTCTCGGGCGCAGTCGAACGGTTCTTAACCTTTCCGCTACGCTTTTCAGAGGCGAAATTTTATTAATGAATCAAAGACTCGGCGTATAATGAGGAGCAAAAATCGCACGTGTCGTTGAAGATTTTTTTCTCTCGTAAAAAAATTCTTTAATCATCAACTTATAATGACTTCGGTTTACGACAATCATCAACGACGAAGAAATGTATAAAAAAGGAAAAAAAATATATATCTCTTTTATATATATTTTAATGAATAAATATTATTTAGAAATTAGCTTTCCCCTCGAAGTTTTTTTTTTAATTTCCGGTATTTGTGCAATAATTTTTACGTCAACTTTTCATCGCGTTACAACAACGCTCGAAGACTCTGCTCGATATCATACAATTTTTGTACAACTTTCCTTTTTTTCTCCTCTTGGTTATTATTAGCATCTTTTCTTTTTTTTTTTTGTTTTTTTTTAACTTGATACTTATACAGTTTTATGGAGATAGATATCGCAGAAGTTATACGGATTATTTCTCTGCGAAGAAATCGTCCGCGTCAAACTGATACATAACGCGAGAACATTTTTATTTTGGCTCATGTTAATTGACAACAAAATTAATGGTATAGCAGCCTTTCTCACAACTTTCATCTAGTTTCATCCGGTATCTAATGTCTTTCATTGGGCAATATGGAATGAATACGCACGATTATCCGGTAAAACGCGTTCATTTTCGTTTCCGGTTTCGGAACGACCGATTCAGCGACACGATCGTGGCCCGCGAAACGGGGTTTACTGGGAAAAAGGTAAAACCGGCCACGAGCTATATTCCACGGACCGTTGCTCCTCATAAACGGACTTCGTTGTTTCGTGCGGCAAAATGCAAAAAATAATTAAACCTCGATTCGCAGAGTTGCGATGTGTCATCCTGTTTCGGTGCAAATTCGCGAGGTCATCGCCTGTCACTATTTTTAAAAATGTTACAAATTTATCGTAGTGGGCTCAATTGCGGATTACGATTGTCGGTCGAAAAAAAAAAAAAAAAAAAAAAAATATATATATATATATATATATATATATATATATATATATATATGCAATCGCGTCGCGGGATTTAAAAATAAATAATTTGATTCTGATAAAAATAAATAATTTAAAAATAATTTCTGAACCGGCGTCGAAATAATTTAGAATAAATATTTACGTTCATCTAACGGAACTGCTTCAATTATTCATTCTAGAAGCCGTCTCTTTCACCGACGTAATTTCCGACGTAAATTGACTAATCGATCGAGGAAAATAATAAATTCTTTACACAATTAAAAAGAATTTAAAAAAAAATTTTGAAAATTGTATTTACTCGATCAAATATTCTAACTAATCTGATATTCTAACTAGATGTGATTAAGAGAAACATGTACTTGAATGTTATACAACAAAAATATGCAACGAAATCTACAACACACGAGACAAAAAATAATTGCATTAATTCGCTGGAGAAATAGTTTAGAATTAATATTTACGTTCATCTAACGGAACTGCTTCAATTATTCATTCTAGAAGCCGTCTCATTTCCCCGACGTAAATTGACTAGTCGATCGAGGAAAATAAATTTTTTACCCATTAAAAAGAATTTAAAGAAAAAAATTTTGAAAATTGTATTTACTCGATCAAATATTCTAATTAATCTGATATTCTAACTAGATGTGATTAAGAGAGAAACATACTTGATGTTACAACAAAAATATGCAACGAAATCTACAACACACGAGACAAAAAATAATTACATTAATTCGCTGGAGAAATAGTTTAGAATAAATATTTACGTTCATCTCAAATATTTACGTTCATCTAAATATACAACACACGAGACAAAAAATAATTGCATTAATTCACTGGAGAAAGAGAGAGAGAGAGAGAGAGAGAGAGAGAGACAGAGAGAAAAAGAGAGCCGACTATTATTTGCATAAATTATTAAAATTTAAAAGGACACATTTTCACTATAAATGGGACAACACAGTTGCAAGCAGTGAAAAGCAGAAATGCATATATTACATGGAATAGATCAGATCTCGAGTTAACTTGCTTCCGAGAGAAGCGTGTCACTTTGAATGAGGTAAAAGCTAAACGTCCAGCGTCGATCGACAGACAAATCGACACCTACTCGCGCAGGTTTTCCGCCTTTCTCTCCCGATATCCGATTGTCAAATCGATCGGTGAAACTCTCAGGGTCAAGTTCGATCGCGTTCTTCTTGCTCGCGCGTTCCTCTTCGTGAAAGAATCGTACGAGTCCGTGTCGCTCCATTTCGCTCGCGGGAAAGATGCGCGACCGCACGATTTTTCTTGCCATTTCCATTCATCCTCCGTGCGTGAGATTACTATCTCTCGATTACTATCGCTCGATTAATTTCTCTGGCGATTTAAGCAAAAGTTACAAAACTTTCAGTCTCCCAGTTTTTATCGTGAAATTTTCAGACATGCCATCAACACGCACACACAACTTTCGGATTAACTGATATACATATCCGCGAGAGGATGTAAAATCGTCGCTTGTTTCACTGGCTTACTTTCGCGATCTATAAGCGAAATTGGTCTCCCGCGAAAACAACGAAGATATTTAACAAGCACGCGATTTACTACACGCGTGTCCCGCGCGTGTAGCCGCCATGTTAATTAATTACGCACATGACGCATCTGATCGAGATAATTATTATGCGTGCGGACACAGAGTTTATTTCATTGTCGCTCTTCTTTTTTATTTCGCGAACGCCTTCTAAGTGGACCAAAGAAATCGTTTATCGGCGACGGAAGTGGGTTACGAGCGCACGGCTTAGCAAGATGCGCGATTAATTAATCGAAAAAAAGCGCGTAATGGCACGCGCGAAATTTCGTATCGTTCACAAATCATTATTCAATATTCCATCCGTGTTGACAGGTTGGATTCCAAACGACGCGATGCACGTGAATTTATTCCAAAACAATTCAAAGCGAATTCTTTCTCACCTCGATTGTTCTCTGTTGTGGCTCTGCGGAATAAAATTTTGGCGAATAAAATAAAAACGTCACGCAAAATTGTAAATCTGCTTTAAGTTATGTTGAGTTCGGAAATTACATTCTCACGCATGCTTCCAATCGTTAATCATGGAGTCTGAAAATTTAAACAACCAAAGATAATTTTTTGTTAAACAATACGACAAGAAAAATGCCTAAAAATTCTTCCCGATTCGACTTTTCGCCCCGATATTTTACTCGTCTCTCTTCAGGGGGGTAAAGAGGCTTTATAGAATTCTCAAAAATGAGAATCTATATCTTGGTAAATGCAAGTAAAATATATGCATATCGTTCTCATTTAAATTTTCGCGTAGAATTAAAGAATTTTTAGACATTACCATCCGCTGTGGCTCTTAATCGCTAGTTTTCTTGCCGTGTTGTTTAATACATATAGAGCCTAATTCCTTTCAATTTATTTAATTTTTTGTTGTATGTGTTGTGGTAGTAAATATATGTATGTTAAAAAAAATTTTTTTTAAAGATTTATAATAAAAGATTTATAAGAATTATAAAAAAATGTTAAATTACGACAAATATCTGTCTTATGGAAATTGTAACAGAGACATTACTTACCTTAATATCATTTATACGCTCGCTAATGAGTGAAAGTGGTGCAAAGAGATTATATATGCAATAATAACAAACATTATTTACTACAACGTTGCAATTAATGCTTTTAATAGATCTCGGTGACACTTTATTCTTGTTCTATAATAATCAGTTTCTTTTTTACTCTCAGTAGTGCCGCGCTACGATGATCATGACGTCGACTGCAATAATCATAATAACAGTAATCAGGATAATAATAATGAGCTGTTGATTGTAAAGTGGCGTCGACTTGTTGAATTTTGTTTAGAAATCCACGGTAAAAGAGAGACAATAACGAGAATATCTTTTATGTATTCACTTTCTTATTGCGAAACGCATTTAGGTCCCATTTAGATCGCGACGGGCGATCTACGATTTGTTTCCTTCGCCAGCCATTTTACAATCGCACGCTCGTATATGTAACGTTATCAATAATCGTACAATTATATAATGTATATGCGAACAGAACTGTAAACTATGTGAAGGACCGAGATTGTAGTCCGCGTTGAAGTCCGTCTTCGAGTTGAAAGTTGCGTCTCGACGTGATACATGGATACATTGATCGCGAAAGTGTGTAGTTCGAGGGCAAATTAAATTACACGATATCGCGAAAGAACACTTTGAACGTTTTCTCACGAAGAACAGTTAAAGTAGAATCGCGGCTGAAATTGTTCCAATTATTATTTTCCATTAACTGAAAACTCACACGCAACATCGTATAATCGATGCTCTCTCAACAATCACGTATCCGACAAAGCTTCCCGTTAGTTTCCTTTGTAACGTAACCCATGAATCCCAGGGTATAGATATTGGATTTCGCGTTGTCAGCAACATGATACTGAACGTTTTCGAAATAACGATCGACAGACGCAACTTTGAACTTAATGACAGGAAATGTACGATCAAGGGGATTCCCTCCGATGAATAGGGCTTCGCGTTCCCTCGCACATTTAACGCTAGATGCATTATCCCCTGTTGCTCGCGTATGATCCTAATCGTCGATAGAGGCACGAGCGACGATAATCCGAGCGATTCTCGAGTGCCAACATTTTTGTAGCATTAAATACAGAAACGCGATAATTACTGCAATATAATTAATATATAATTATTGATAATTTTTGCAGGCTATATTCTAGTGAATTTAATAAAATTTTGAAATATAAGAATGTGCGAATAAATTACAAACTCCAACGAATCCTTTCTATGTTACGAAAACTCGAAAATGCAATAAAAAGTAAAGATAACTCATATAATAAATGAAAGCGTAGATAAGCTTGTGATAACGAATATATGTAATAAATTAGAAAGCAGTGTAATTTGAAAAGAGTAAATTAATAGTTTCTTTGATAAAAGAGAAGAAAATAAATATAAAAAATTAATAATTTCTTTTATAAAAGAGAAGAAAATAAATATAAAAAATTAATAATTTCTTTTATAAAAGAGAAGAGAATAAATATAAAATATATCAAGACAGAGAAGTAATTTTGCAACATTTGCGTAAATTAATGTAAAATAAATTTGAAGAGATAGATAATAAAAGTCTGCTACGCGCATTTTTTTCCTAATCTATCTTTTCCATGATCATTTCAATAATGATCGCTCTTTTACATCAGTAAACACTGTTCGCTTTGATTTTCGAATGTCATACTAACATTTAAGTTTGCTCACGTTTCTCTGCTGTCTGAAAATACAAATTTCAGTGTACAATAATACGTCTCATAATGTAGAATAATTAACATATTCTTCTATATATAACTCATTACAATATACTATATGTTATATAATAATAATAATAATAATAATAATAATTGTAAAGTAACAATTTTACTGATGAAGATATTCATCTTCAGAGACATCGGCACATCGCCCGAGACAGGATCGACGTCTTTTATTAACATCTCGCTACGATAAACTATGCGAAATTCAAATGCAAAACGTTCCACGAGAACGTGCAATCACTCATGCGATAAGAGATACGAACAATTCGGTAAATAAACACGTGTTCCGCGATTCCTATTATAGATTCTATATTATTTATATATTTTATATATATATATATCTCTATGTGTTCGCGTATATTATTACTTATTTATTTATATAATTTATACATATAATTTCTCTCTTTTTTTTCTCTCTCCGCATTTGTTCTTGCCTCTCGCGCGCTCTGAAAATCTTCGTATTAATATATAATATTTGTAAGGACTAGTTAAATACGGTAGGTTTAATTTAACTATGTGTACTTCAACAAGCCAGTCTAGCTTTGCGACGCTTCGAGTCACCTCTCTCGTGACTTGACGAACGTCAGAGCATAAAGAAACACGCTTGAACACTCGGAATGATTCGCCATCCGTCGGTGTCTCGGCAAACGTCTCGCGATATATTATATATACTCTATAGCGAGATCGAGGAGCGATCGAGGAGTGATCTCGATGCGGGGATGATCTCGCACGCGCCATCGAAACACTTACCGCTAAGTGATCTCGCTCGACGTTCGACGCGACCGCTCCCCGCGTTTGTCAGTCCTCCGGAGAGGAAAGCCCTCTCGTTATTCTTTTTATTACCTCTATAAATGTTTTAGGCGGTATTCTACTCTTATTGGCGATAAATATACACGATGTACGGGTCGTCAATGCGATATCTGCGCGCGAGTTACGTCAAAGTTACACGCGAACGTCCTATCGCGTGTTAAGACTCTCGAGAAAAATCGCGGATAGAGTTATCCTAGTATATTTTATGTCGCTACGTATCGTATCCCATTCCGGCTCTATTAGTCTATAAATTAAGCTACATGTTACAAAATCGTCATCTATCTACCGATTTTATTATAAACGGACGTGGCCGATGGTGCATCTTATTCTACGCGAAATTCTTGGCTAAATGGGAAAATATCTTTAACAAGGATATATTACTCGAAGTTTCCTTAGCACGCGCGTATATTTTTTGACGTAGCTCGTACATCGTTCTCTCTCTCTCTCTCTCTCTCTCTCTCTCTCTCTCTCTCTCTCTCTCTCTCTCTCTCTCTCTCTCTCTCTCTCTCTCTCTCTTTCTCCCTCGTGTTTGTCTTGTTATTGAAAAAAATACGGTATGAGACAATATGTTACGTCAGCCATGACATTAGGGGGAGCAGCCGTAACGCGAGCAAAAGCGATATAATTAAGGCGAGAAACGCCAATCTTCGCGGGCGAGACTAGAGTTCTTATCTTTAAAAAAAAAAAACATTTCACGAATATATTCGATAAAACGCGCCCTATAAACGCATTATCTACTACTTGCCTGCCTTAAATATATAAGTTGTAGTACGAAACATACAAGCGAGTTCGGTTTTGTATCAAGATACAGGGGGAGCGGCGTCGTGTCTCTCCCAAGTGAAGAGAATAAATCTGAGCGATATTTCCCTTGATATACAGACTCGCCGAGATTATTATCGATTTACGCCTGTTCAACGCCATATTCTCCTCGTTATTATCGGTGATAACGTGTTTACTTCGCACTATATAATTATAACATATAATTATAGTGTGTGTGTGTGTGTGTGTATATATATATATATGTATGTAAGACGATAAGGTGTATTATCGGAGCTATACTTGCACGAGCACGAGCATCGGCAGACGGAATAGTTTTACGCAAACTCGAGCAACTCCCTCGACGAAATTTTCATCGGCTAGAATCTGACAATCGTGCCTGACAACGATTGATTCCCTTTGAGTTGGCAGAGTTCTCCGTCGACTCTATCGAATCGATGCGCACGCGTTACGAATCGCCGTGCTTCATCGTCGTGCTTTATCTCAGCTCTCGTTCTATTTTTCACATCTCGTGTTGCACGCGAGTTCGAACGGCAAGATCGATTGGCGACGCTGGCGTGTAATTAATAGAGCGAGTCGCGCGATTTTGCACGCGGCTCTCGTAACAAAAGATACTTATTGTTATTAAGACATTTTTTTACCTATATATATCACACTAGAATCCACGGTGTCTGTAGGTGCTTCTTACGTCGGGACACGCGTTGAGAGTTCCGCCCGCAGAACCCTGAAAGATAATTTCACTCGGCTTTATTAATGTAAACAATCACACGTTTTTTTTTGGAATAAATCTTCAATTCTTCGAATCGGAGAATTGCAAAAAATCAGGAATCGCGTCAATCTTACCTGTCATTGTTTGGCGGATTTATACCTAGCTAGCTTCAGCTGCAGTGGATTGGATATTTTCAGGTGGAAAGCTATGTCGTCGAAGGAAACGTCGCGCACGTCCAACCCGCTGATCGTTATAAGATGATCGCCCTTGCAGATCTTGCCGGTTTCGATGGCTTGACCGCCTGGCATCTGACAAGTTGGGACACAAGTTGACGTTTCATTTTATCGCGTCGGGTCGCGATAATGTCGCCTGTATGATAGGAAAACGTGATCACTCACCAGCTCCGTCACATAAGCTCCCTTTCCGCTCCTGAAGGCGGCGAAACAGATACCCGCACCTCTACCGCTCTTCTTCTGTATCTCGACCTCGTATTCCTCGGTTGGCTTCTCGTGGCGCAACACCGTCATCGTGATCTGCAAACAAGCGAATCGAGCGTAAACGGCGAGCGTGACGTTCGCTCGGTCAATTCAACTCGCTGAGAAAATTAGAGCGCGAAATAGCTGATGCGCTAATTTTCTCTTTCACATTCTCCATTAAGAGAAGAGGAGGATTGAGCTTAGGAATACAAATGTCACGTACAGTCCCGGAGGTAAGCTTCAACATCGCTTCGCGAGCTTTCGGGGACTCTATCTGCTTGAAGCTCTCGTTGCCTAAGCTGAGAATCTGATCGCCGCGTTGCAGTCGACCGTCCTTCCCGGCCGCGCCTTCGGGGAATACATCCAGAACAAACACTCCGTTCTAGAAAAAAGCATTATGTATTATAAAAGCATACATTAACATCGATATCAAGTTATTACACTAATTAGTATCAATATTTATTCCTGTATAAAATCAATATATTGATATTTCCATAATGACATTTAAGATATTTACGAAATATTATTTTTCACGCACATCTATTTGCATGTGCCATCGATTTCTTCCGACATTGTACGTTCACGATGTATGTTTAAATGTTTTCACAATTTTAAAAATTGTATATTAGATTAATTATAAAGTTATATATCATGTTGAGGGGCAAAATATTTTAAAAATTATCAAGTATAATCACCCAGAGGGTATCAGAACCACCGGCGATGAAGACACCTACGACCTGATCCTTTTCCTTCTGAAATTCTATCGTCACTTCTTGATCGACCGGTATTTGACAGGTTTTCGGATCCAGCTGGACTTTCTCAGATTTCGCCGGTTTCTCTGTTTCTTTGGCAGTTGCTGATACTACTAATAATAATAGCATATAATAAGAATATAAAGACAGATCATAACTTTAATAAACGAAATGTATACATGTGCGTGCGTAATTAGAAGAGTTTCCATAAATCAAACATAAAAATTTAATATAGTGCGTCATTAAACTCACCCGGTGCACTTTTTTGTGGCGTCTTCTGCGCAATATCACTAGTTTCACCTCCAAGTTTAGCTTTATCCTTCCCTTTCTCTTTTTGTAGTTCTACTTTATTCTCGTTAGGATTACATACCGTCAGCACAACGATACCTTGTGCTCTCTTCAATAACTCTGTAGCCTAAAAACAAAAAGAAAATCGATGAAAGAAATAAGCATTATAGCTTGTTCAACGATTAAATCAAACAATTCTTTGCTTAATGAAGAGAAAGAATATGAACCTCATCGTACGTGCGCCCTAATAAACTATCCAGATTAACGGCCAGGATCATATCGCCCATTTTCAATCCAGCCTGCAATATTATAAAGCATTAAAATGGGACTCTCGAGACTCGTACGAGTGACAAATTACCTGTTCTGCGGCACTGCCGTCTTGAATATCAGACACGAAGATACCCTGTCCCACGGCCAGATGTTTCCCTTCGATGATCATTATGCCTAGACCATGCGAACTCTACGAATGACATCGACGATTAAAAATTATTGATACATGGAAGGAAATATTGAATTCACTTTGCGTAATTAAAATACTCGCCTTCTTTATTTGTACTTCACGGACTCCCTTGTACTTACTGAAGCTTGTAAAGTTCTGAAATACAATACATCGTCACTTCATAGCAATATGATATGCACTTACGTTGTATGTATCGTAATGACATCGTTTGCGATATATCTTGTATATATACGGGGTGTCAGGGCAATCTCTTCTAAAAAAAAAACTCTTGTAGCTTACCTCGAGACCTTTTCAAAACACTATAATAAAGTATTTTTTTCATTGAGCATTTTTCGAGTTATGAGGCTTGAAATAATCTCTTAATTTTACATAAGCCATAAAATATCTAGTAAAATATTTTTCGATTATCCTAGATACCTTTATGTACAAAATAATGAGAGAAATCAATTGATGTAAAGAAAACACATAATTGTTTCGGAGAAAAAATATATAATTTGCAATTAACAATTACATATTCTTTTTCAAAACAATCATGTGTTTTCTTTACACCAATTCCTTTCATTATTTTATACATAAAAGTATTAAGATAAGATAATCGAAAAATGAGTATTTTACTAGATATTTTATGATTTATGTAAAAATTAAGAAATTATTTCAAGCCTCATAATTCGGAAAGTACTCGATGAAAAAATATTTTATTATAGTGTTTTGAAAAGCTCTCGAGGTAAGCTACAAGAGCTTTTTTTGGAAAGAGATTGCCCTGATACCTTGTATATATAAAAATTATGCGAACCGAACAGTGTTATTTATGATAATTAACTGCATTAGAAGTGAAATTATGATCATGTTAGATCGAAGTAATCGAGGCATATCGACATATTTTCACGATCTTGCTATTTTGAGAAATCGGTGAAAGCCAACCACGATGTTAGCATCCATCATAATAAGTATGTAGTGTCATATAAACATATCTCGACGCGAAAGTCAAATATCTCGATACAAGAATTTCGAGATTTTTAAAAAAGATTCCATGGTTTCTTCGACGTCAATCAAAGTGTCTGTAGGTGATAATCATTTTTTACGTATAAAGAATAAATCATTATATGTAGAAAAATTTTTTTAAGGTCTGATTTTCCTGAGTTCTTGCAAGAAATCTACTTGAATTAATTCGTGATTCACCTCGTGTTATATAAATAAACATATATAAATACATTGATATTAAGTTGATTTGAATATTTATAATAACAACATCGTAATTTAAGATGTTATTGATAGATGTTATGTCTGGTGATTCACGTTTATTATGTAATATTCGTAAACATTGCTTAATAAACATTCCTCGATAATAAACGTAGACATTAATTGCTTCTCGATGATTCGTTATTCTGCAAAAATTGCAACCGGTCTTGCATTATCTCGAGGAAGATGATAAGATAAAAGATAAACCACGTAAACTGACTTACGTCATCCAAGGTTGGTGGAAATTGAACTATCGGCTTTACGGCGATGTCATCGACAGCCTTCGATCTTCTGCAACCGGGACAGGCGAAATCCGTTTATCGTTTTAATGAATTTTGTTATACATGTCTTCTACGTCACGCGTTATACATCACAAAAAAAAGCTCTTATGTCTCACCGATAAACGATGATCTTGAAACGAGTGCTGGGTATGCCTTTGATGATAGCGGACGCGTTCAAATGACACCGTCCTTGCAACACGCAACCGTTCACCTAAATGAAATGAAGAATCAAGCTTTTTTTTTTGTTTCCGTCATTTGTATCGACACGCGAGGCCAGATGAAGCTTGTTGCAAAAATATGTCACTTGCGGAATTTGAGTTGACATGTAAAGTTTTTTTTTGATCATTTTGTATTTTATATTTGGTCAATAAAAAGCTTTCGGTTCGGTTGTTTTGTTTTTTTTTTCATATTTTTTTTTAATTAATTAGATTCTTATTTGAAATGAATTTATTTAACGTAAAATGACGAAATGTTAATAATTTCCAGCTAAATATATATTTAGCGGAAATTCTAATAAATACATATGTTTTAATGAATTGTCAAAATATCTAACACTAGTTTTCCTTTATCTTAATTATTTTATTTAAAGTGCAATATCCACATTATTTCAAGTTTATTTTACTCACTTATTTACTTTAAACTCAACATGAATGTCTCGAACACAAGCTTTAGTATCGTGGTTTTACACGGTTACACGGACAAATTAAACAACTTGTGAAACGAAAGTTAAACAACTGGCGAAGTAACCGCCGGGAACTCGTCGTGTGGAGAACCGCAAGTAGTAAATGGCAAGTCGTAAAAATGGGAAGGAAAGAGGTAAGAGATACCTACCTCCAATATCTCGTCGCCGATGAGGAGCCCGCCGTTTTTATGAGCTGCACCCTTCGGATTGAGGCCGCAGATAAACACCGCCATTCGATTTCTATCCTTATGTCCAGCCAGAGAGATACCCAATCCCCGCCTGTCCTTCTCGAGAACGATCATTAGCACTTTATGTCCGAGATTCTGATACTTCTTCTGTATCTTCTCTGCAAGATTCGAAAGAGCATTTTTATACGATGCACATCAATCGATCAATGTAAATCCGTCTCGTGTACGCTTGTCGGATTTTGTGGGGCTTGCGATTAAATTTACTCTTCTGAAAATGTGTAGATGGATAATCGGAGATGACGTGAACAATTAAATTTTGCTACCATTGTTAGCGATGCAACCAACAGTGCGATCGTATGGAATGAATATTGATTTCGTTTACGTGACGCAAATAGTATATAAAAATACCACGATTCTCTCAATTGTTTCCCCAATCGCGGTTTCCACAATTCTACATTTAGCACACAAATCGCACTCACTGATCGTATAACCATACTCGTCCTCTTCTTCAGGATCCGCCTCGATTTCCGCCTTCGTGAGCTTCACGTTTCCGGCGCTTTTTCTCGAGATCTAAGTCAAGCCAGTTTTATATCGCGTTACATCATCGTCCTTGCGAATCGAGAGGCTATTGAGAGAGCCTATCGGTACGTTCGGTTACCTCGATGCCGCTCTTCGTGTAGACGTTGCCCTCCAGCATGCGAGTATCCTCCTCGTCCTCGTCCGAGCTTTCGTCCGAGGAGTACTTGGGCTTCGCGACAGGCTCCGCGATATGGTCCTCTCGTTCCTCGCTGACTTCGCGTAGGATACCCGGATTCACCGGGGGCGAAGGGGCCGTTTTTCGAATTGACTTCTTCATGGAGGATCTGGAACACGATAAAAGATACGTTTTTGCGATTCGGAAATGTCGGAGGAAAATTTAAAATTGACTTTTAGTAGATGCGAGAAATGGAAAAGACAATGACTCCATTCCTGCGACTTTTTCGAACAAACATCAAGATTGAGTAATTTTAAATTTTCAATTGAAAAAGTTTTTCTGTCGCTCCGTAGATACGAGTATATATTTATAATGTTAGTCTTCTAAAGATCTCGGATAAAAACGAGAGGAAAGTCTTCCTACAATCGTACCTTCGTGAACTAGAAGCTGAGCCATCTGAACTTTTCGAACTTGGTTTTTGAGAATCTACGTGCGAACTGCTTTGAGCGTCGCCGTCCTCAAGTCCTGGCTACGCAACAAATAGACATTTTAAAAAATGAAAGAAATTTCCTATATTATATATTATTAAAATATATAATTAAATATTATAATTAAATATTAAATATATAATATAATTAAATATAATATTCATGCCAAGATGATATAAATAACGCAATCTTTTCAAGAAATTAAATGCGAATATCAAAGAACATATATTATCTATATCTGAAATAAACATCGGTAAACTGCGTGAATTAATTACTGAGCTAAATATATTTATAAAGCTGACACAAGTGTAACAAATATGCAATTATATGTCGTAATCACGCAATCTCCATTCATTAAATTATAATAAAAATATTTTGTTGTCGTGCGGAGAAAAAAACTGTAGTCCGCTGATTCAATTAAAAAAATTAATTAGCGCGGAACATTACAAGTCTCCCGGCGCGTGAAACTCCCTTCTTCACTCCAGTTTTCCCATTTACCAATTAGTGTAACAATTGTATTTATTCCTCATGCTTGACACATTCGCGGGAAAAGATTGAAGAAAGAAATCGTGCGACGCAGACTGCATTCTTTTATTGACCGATACAGATATAAATTGTGATAATCGATTCTTTAGCGTTTATGCGAAATGCATAATAACAGAGGCAGTGATCTCATCTTTGAAAATTTTAATTATTTCCTACTGTAACAATATCTTATATAAATTAAATTAATTATTGAATAACATCTCATTATATTGACGTATAATTTAATTGTAACGAATATCATTAATGTTTACGCGAGCAAATTCGAAGGTGAAAAGTTTGATTTGAAGAAAATATTATATAATGAGAAAACCCGACCTGTATCACTTCTGGTGTGATGGATCTCGCTGGCGAAACCGGCGGTGGCTTACGGCGAAAGGAGGCCGTCGGCGTTCCTGAGCTGACGCCGGAAGACGGCGACGTATGACTCTTGACAGTCTGCCTCCGGGCTTTGGTGTCTCTTTCCTCTTGGACGGCGCTGCCGTGCTCCGGGCTCTGCAACAATTTCAAGATTCTCTCTTCCGCACGGAAATCCTTGAACGTATGTATGTACGCAAGCTTAAATTCGTTCCAATTTAACGTTACCTTCGGTAACGCTTAAACTCCATTTATTACATTCCACTTCCGATATTGATATTATATACTATATAAAGTTATATTAATATAATATTACGTATATAGAGAACGACATATACAAATTAAAACATATCTTCCGAATTGTTAAATGTTATTAATTTTACTTAATAAGTAAAATAATAAAATAATGATAAAACGCGAGGCAAACGAAAATTAAATTTAAGCAATATGTATAGAACTAAAGCACAAATTAAAAATATGTCTTTCGAACTGTTAAATATTATTAATTTTATTCGAACAAATAAAATAATAATGAAATAATGATAAAACGCGAGACAAACAAAATTTATATTAAATTTATATATCATTTTTGTGAAAAATTTCAATCGTAAAATAGGACACATCCGTATGACGACAAAGGCTGGGCGACATTAAGCAGTTTACGAGCTATTATATATTCTAGGACCGACAGTTCAATGTGGAGGTATTTATACGACGACAATGAATCTTTTTAACGCAAAAAGAGAGAGGAAATTGAAGAAGTAAAGAGAAAATATATGATGCGGGTGGTATTCCACGCATAGAATTGTTTCGAAGATCTATACTTATTTTAGCAGCAACGTAAACTGCGCAGAGCGTCTGGATAAACCGGTCAGAATGAATTAGTACAACAGAAATATTTGCTGAATATCTTGAATTGTTGCCAAAGTAACTGCAATTGAACGAGTTTAATTCCGTAACGCGTAAAATGGACAGCGACATGTATTTCAGATTCATTCTCTCGATTTCTTCTTTTATATTCTTCTCTCCGTTTCTCTTGACAGTATATAATCGAGGTAGGAAATCGACCATTTCGAAAAGACTATGATTCGAACAATAAAAACAATGTAAAATAATATAACATATCACGTTTTAAGCAATATAAACAAAATTATAGATAATACTGAAACACTGTACGACTATCGTTACAAGATGATTACGAGATGTAAACATCTGCGAGATATTGGCTATAAAAATTATTTATATGTCTCTTATAAATAAATTCTTTTATACATATGTGCACCTTTCGAAATAATCGATTAAAATACGCGAACGAGGCTTGTCGCACATTCCACGGGACAGAGGGAAAAATTGCTTCTGTTTTCGAGAAATTCTCGATGGAAATTAAATTAAATTAAACAATATTGCGAATTCTTGTCAGGTATGTAAAAATATGTGCATATCCAGCTGTTAAATGACGTGACACATATTCGTTTCTTCACAACAACGTAAATAATTCAGTCACAACTAATGTTTCCTGATTAATTCCCTCCGTGTGTCGTTTGACATGAAACATGTGCTATCGAAGAAGGTTTTATACGATCATGTGGGGATAGTTGAAATTAAATTAAAGCACAATGCGATGAATCACTGGATCAAAACCGAAATCAGCCCTAACTCTCGTCCGATGCGCACAACGCGAGAGAGAAATATGATTAATTTCGAAATTCTCCTATTGTTCCGCGTGGTTTAATCAATCAAAGATAGCGTGCAAGATACATCCGTTTCGCGTCGGTAACTTCCTAGTATTACTTAACATTTAATCCCGAGGATCTTCCAACAGCACGCCCCGTATTTCTATATCGTAAACCAAAATAACTCCGATTTACGATACGGTTTACAGTTCGGGGAAGAGCACACGAGTATACTCGCGCGAACGCACAAATGTCGATACGATGCAGTTGCGCGATCCCACGCAAAGGTGCGCCGACGAGAGTTAAGTGTGATCGTAAAAAAAAATTAAAAAAAAATAAAAATAAAAAAACGAAAAAAAAAAGAAGAGGCGAGAACCCGGCGCGCTTTTCCGCGTGATAACGTACGACGAAGGTGACGCATTTGCGTCCGAAGAACCGGTGCATCGCGTCGCCTCGTGACAATCCGTGCCGAGTGACATCGGACGAACACACCACCGTCGACCGGGCGATTTCGTGCACCAAACTGAAGTTTTTGCATGCGAGCGACGGGGACGGAGAATGGCGTTGTTCATACGGCGGTACGGGGGCGCATCGGTGTATCCGAGGGGGAGGGGGAGGACAGGGGGAGGGGGGAGGAGAGGAGCAAGGTGAGCACATCGATGGTCCATGGTGTCGATGATGAGCGCGCTCGATCGCAACGAAACGTGAACCACGCTTTTCTGGCGAACCGCTTCAACCCCCCTGGCTCTCTGACTCTCTGTCAGAGCGCGCCGCCCCTCCCCCGCTTATATCCACCCTCCTGTTCCAATAAAGGTGCGTTCAGTTGAGAAAAAGCGACAATTGGAAATAGTTTGTGCACACATTTGGATTAAATTAAATCCCCAAATACATCGACCGAACACACGAGCGTGATGAAGTCGAACGGTTCGCGCGAATCATCCAATTGTCATCTCGATGTAGGATTAATTTGACAACGGCCATTTTTTTGGCAACGAAATTTTGTAGGGAAAAATTTCATATTGGAAAGAATGGCGTAAACATTTTTTAAACGCCACAATTCGTCACCGTGTATATATATATATATATATATATATATATATATATATATATATATACGGTGATAAATTATGGCGTTTAAAAAATATATATATACGGTGACGAATTGTGGCGTTTAAAAAATGTTTACGCCATTCTTTCCAATATGAAATTTTTACGTATATATATATGAAATTACATCATTACTCGATTATTCAAATTAATTGCTGACGTTACAAAGAGAACACTTGCGCCTTGTGATGTAATTGATGGTTCACCGACATTCTCTGAACGCGTCTTTACACTCTCATCTTCCCACCTCTCATCTCTCCTAACTTTACATCTCTCCATTGTCGCATCTCTCTCTCTCTTTCTCTCTCTCTCTCTCTCTCTCTTTCTCTTTCTCTCTCGTGACACTCTGCCCCTCGCTATTCCTCATCATGGAGATTTATTGGAAAGTTCGACCCCGGTGCATCATACGCGTACAAGAGCTGTTACCGATAATGGCTCTTTCCATATTCTCTTTCTCTCTCTTTCTCTCTCTCTCTCTCTCTTTATTTATCTCCCTCGCTCTTTCTTTTGTCCTCTCATTCCATCTCATTCTTTTGCACTTTCACCTTGCGCTTCTTCTCTCTTTTTTTGTTCTCCAACTCTATCGTTCACGAGCGTGTATGTATCTCGACACCGTCATTCTCTCTGTATCGACGGTTTCGAGAGAATGCGCTCGATTGAAATTGGAAGAAGTTGATACCGCTTTCAAAGAACGGTCAACAATTGTAGCCAGGCCAACCTCTGCGATTACGACAAACAAGTGTCGTTACATTTGACACCCATGTCGAAGCATTGAATGGTACGAATCGCGAAGAAATGTATTCGGTTTCGTTTCATTTCAAGCTAATTTTGAAGCGTCAAAAAATAGGTCATGCTCTTCGGTAGAGCCAAAAATAGCGTGGCTGTTGATCGAGATTATCCACGAGCAGGAAATTATAAGACTCATCAGCTCGCATCATCGAGCATGTGTATCGAATTGCGGATTTTTCGTTCCGGGAAACTCGATGCTAGATGCACAAAAATCGTTAAGAGTCAAGATAGAGACAGGGTAAATAAATTTTACCATCATGAGATTACGAGCTCGAGTCAAAGAGACTTTTCAAGTACGATACGAATTTATCGTTCGCCGAGAGAGCAAAATCTACACATTCACGCATCTCCGCACTCAACGTAACGCAATCGGAACACGATGCGGATATTAAATTTTAATATCGAATGCCACGTTACTTCGAGTTTCGGATTCGATGTAACAGATATCGAGAACTTTGTTCTCGAGGCGTGCGCGCGATACGAGTTCGACGTCGTAAAGATTCGCGATCCACCGGATAAAACTCGCGCAGAAGGATAAGAAGGATAAGAAGAGTCGTCGATCGGGAGAATTATTTGCGTTATATTCCGCGTGCTCAAGTTTTCCGCGTCTCTATCGTATCGTTTTGCACACTTGCATCGCAAGTATATCGCCTGCATCCAGCAATTTCGTCTAATGCGTCCACCGGCGGCGCTTTGGAAGCGGGACAGCCGTCGCAATTTGATGACATTACGGAGTTCACTTTCGTCCTACACAGGACTACGACGAACGGCGATAACGTACCGGAATCGATCGTTTATACGAGGTTAATTGCGAAGGTAAAACTTTTGCACCTTGCGAATCGAGTTAACTCGAAGGTGCGCGGAGAGAGATTTCCAATGGTGACCTCATTGAAGCGTACAAATGGCTTTTCATTCGCCTATACATTGTCGTTAAATGTACGAGCGGAATGTTATATAATAATTAACATGTAGATTTAATGTGTGTGCATAAAGTAATCATAAATCGTTAAATTAAAGTTTGTTTAAATTTGCATGTTCCAACTTTCGACACCTCAAACATTTGTTACAGGAACTTTAGAGAACTTTAGAGAAAGATTTCACAATCGCGTCTAAGTTAATTCGCCAAGTTCATTATTTCTATCGCACCTTATTGATATTAAATCTTGACAAATTTTTTGATCGATTGAAAATATTAGTTTTACTTCCTCCGACGAAATATACACACACACATCGACGTATCGACCGTCTTTCAAATTACTCTTGCAAATTACTAAATGTAAAAAAAGGAAAAGATTAGATGAAAAGTTGCGAACTATAAAACGACGTGTAAATGTACAAGAGTTGCTGGAATAAAGCAATGTCATAAATTTCAGCGGTCGTAAAGAATTTACGTTGCACATTGTGAATTTATTTCCCTCAGGAATACTTTTTCACGAGCCAGGATAAGGCTCACAAATAGTTCTAATAGGTACATAACGCAAACCATGCGGAATCGTGACAGGCAGAATTCTAAAAAAAGAAAATTTCCGTTAGTCGATTTTCTCCCAAGTATCATTGCCGTCACGCGAAGCGAACGATTTATGCCGCCTCCGACATCTTTATATAGATTATCAGATTTCTCATCGTTACGACGGTCAAGTGCAACTGGAGGAAGAGACGGATAGGCACGAGACAATAGGGAATATTTGTGCATGTAATGAGTGCGATTCGAAGGAGCAACGTTTTCTCTTCGCGAGTTAGTTTTGGCTGATGGATTTTTGGAGCACGAACGCGACGGAAAACATATTTCATATTCCTGGTCGTGACCAAAATCTCACCAGATGCACCAAGGACTGGACGAGGAGGCAGACAGGATTTCCGGCGGCTTGTATAACTTCCACCGCACGCTCGTGCGTACTGTGTCGTAGATCCACGCCGTCCACCTCTATTATTCTATCTCCGATCTGAAAGCACGTATGTAAAAGAGCAAATTAAACCCGAGCATGACGATCTCATGGCACACAATCGTACGTTGTTGGATCTTAATATGCAATAGAAGGAACGCACTATATTTATTTATAACGTATATTATTAATAATTATGCAAAAAAGATTATTAATTAAAATATAAATCGAAGGTATAATCTCTTTTGGCCTTTGTTAATTAAAACGCGTATGTGCAAGTATATACAGGGTGTCCCATTTAACTTGACACATCGAAATATCTCGTAAAGTCTAAAAGATACGAAAAAATGTTTCAGACAAAAGTTGTATGGTTTCAAGGGGGACATAAGATGGTGTCATTAGTTTGATCTTGAAGAGTCACCTGAAGGTCACGTGAAGATCAGCTCCAACTTTTTAAATGGGACACCCTATATGCTTTCGCATATTCTTGTAGCTCATCTCAAGAGCTTTCCAAAACACTATAATTAAGTTAGTTTTCATTAAATACTTTCCAAGTTATGAGGCTTGAAATCATTTTTTAATTTTACATAAACCGTAAAATATCTTGTAAAATATTCATTTTTCGATTATTTTACCTTAATACTTTTATGTACAAAATAATGAGAGGAATCAATTGGTGTAAAAAAAACACATAATTATTTTTAAGAAATTGTTAATTGCAAATTACATATTTTTTCTTAAATATAACTTTGTGTTTTCTTTACACCAATTGATTCCTCTCATTATTTTGTATATAAAAGTATTGTCCTGTATTGTCAACATGATAAAATCTCAACTGAAACGTCGCAATTTTCGCTTTCTTTCGCTTTATTATATTTTTCCGGATTTTTTTTAGCCCGGATGGAGAAACGAGTCGGATAAAGGCTGGAGGAATATTCGATTTTCGTTATTGACGGCAAAGTGCGTTGCGGAGAAAAACCGCGTTACCTTGAGACCGCCGGTTCTACCAGCCGGACTGTTTGGCAGCACATTCTTTATGAATATCCCAGAGATATTCTGGGACTTGCTCGAGCTGCCGTTGTGCAAATCGACCTGAAACGAGAAATCGATCGTTTAATGTTTCGTTAAACCAAGTGCAATCAACAGAGGCGTGATTGGTCGATTCACATAGATTAAGCGCAGTTAAATTTAATCAGAGCCCGCTCTGCCAGCGTCACGCTGGTCTCTCCGACTTCGTTAACTCCAGGAACTCGGCGGGCACCGGGATTATTTGAGACAGAACACCCCCCTCCGTGATTCCCGATCCGATATCCTTCCCGTTCCAATTTCCCCCGGTCATTTATTCTCATTAATCTCTCGCTGCTTTATCGCCGCATCGTCAACAAGCGTTAATCGAATTAAAGCAATTATTCGACACCACAATTCAGCGGCCACGTCGGATAATCGATTGGATTCGCCGAGTGGAGAAACAAACATATCGGTATTTAATTAGCAACGAGTCCTGCGATTGTTGCATTATCTATCGGCGAGTTAGTAATCGCGCGCGCGCGCGCGCGCATAATATCAATTATCCGGAGGTAGAAAATAATTACGCGATTTAATTGGATGCATTATCCAAGTAATGCGCGATATTCCGAACGGCTTGCTTGAAATGTAATTCCGAAGGGCTTTCAAGGTAACGGGAGGGGAAGGGGAAGGGAGGGGGGAGGTCGCCAAAATCAAAGCCGATGATCCTATTATGTCGTCTTGTCGGCTTAATGTCGGGAAAGTGTGCCTGGCGCGTTAGCGCTCTCCAACAGATGCGATGTGCATCGCGGGGGCGACATTAGCGACTCGATGTATATCGTTAAAGAGTCCATTGATTAAATTTATTGACCAACACACTCTCGATATTTCGATTAATAAAAGCTTTTAACCTCCCATAGTAAATTTACTCGCGTAAAATCGTATAAAATCTATAAAACCACCTGACATCCCGAATATGAATACATATATATATATATATATCGGATTTTTAATAAGACCTGACATTAATTATTAGACTGAGTTATTAGGTCACACACAAGTCGCGAAATGGAGATCCATCAAGCCATCTATTTCACCTAGCCATCTACTAGGTTCGACCTACTTCGGTAACTCTGTCCAAATGTCTCGATGGCCGTCGTAACATTCCCAATTTTAAAGGCGAGCTATAAAATACACGCGGTAATATTGGCCAACTCTTGTTCATGTTCTCAGTTATATTCGTACATGCTAATAAAAGAGATATGAAAAATTGCGATTCGACACGACCACGCGTGAGAATTGGCTAATAATTCAGAATTAACGATATCGATTGAACCGCTGGAATTTGTAAAAATAAATTCCATAACTACATGTGTGTGTGTGTGTGTGTGTAATATTCATCCATTGTAAATCCTCATAATAGCGCGAATACAATTCGAAATAATAAATTGATTTAGCTAGATCGAGCTAGAGATAAAAGTTCAAAAATACTGAATTGTAATTAATATAGAAAATATTATTAAAATATTAAATATTATTAAATATTAAATATTAAATATTAAATATTAAATATTAAATATTAAATATTAAATATTAAAATATTAAATATTATTAAATATTAAATATTAAATATTATTAAAATATTATTGTAGAAATATTTTTCGTAAGGAAATGAATTTATTTTTCCTCTACCGAGTTTTTTACCGTGGGAAAAATGAAATAATCAAATTGTTCGCGCCATTATTAAATTACATCCTACCTTCCCGCCAACGATGCTGAGTCCTAAGCTGGTCTTCGGTTCTCTGTATATCTCCACCAGTCTTTCGGGGCCCCAGTGTTTCGACCAGGTGACGTCGCCATCGTGCTCCCTGTGCGTGACGGTCATGTCCCCCTTGCCCTCCACGAAGACGACTGTCGGGAACTTGCGCGGCGAACTCGAACTGGACGAGGGCGAGCTCTCGGTCTTCCTGGACGTCGAGCTGGCCGGTCTGCCTTGATGCGGACGCTCTGGACGATCGGTGCTCGTCTGATCAGCCTCGAGCAGCTCGTCGTCGCTGCATTGGATCGCCTTCGACTCTTGATAGGTCTGTACCTCGACTTCGCGTCGCGGACTGCGCAGGACGTCCTCCCGAGAGGAGGATCTCGATCTGTCGGACGATCTCGCGGAGAGATCCTCCGGGATGCACTGGATGCTTTTTGACTCCTGTGTTTGTTCCGATCTGGTGGGGCTGCCCGCGATACTCTTCGCAAGATCACCCAAGTCGTCCAACGAGCACTGGACGCTTTTGTTCTCGCCCTGGGTCTGCGTTTGCACTTCCCGTCTCGGGCTTTGAAAGTATTTGCGACTGACGTGGAATGGGCTGATGCTGGGCGGCTCCTCGTCGCAGGGACTCACGCTCTGCTCGGGGCTGCACTGCGTGCCCTTCGACTCCTGCACAGTCTGCGTCTGCACGTCACGCTTCTCCTTAGGCGAGTACTGTGTCTCCTTGAAACTATGGCCGACCTCGTCGAGGCTCTCCTCGTAAACCTCGCGCGTCCAACTCTCGGGAACTGTCTTCAAGAGGTCCTCCAACGAGGAAGTGATCACTTCGTGGAACAGGTGATCCGATTGACTCTCGAGCGTCTGGCTCTGATATTCCAAAGAATGTTCTTTGCAGATCAGATTGTCCTCCTCGTGTCTACAGACTAGTTCCTCCAACAACGGTGATCGTTTCTGCAAAGATGTTTGTCCAGAATCGCGAGCTTCCCTCGTGTCCTCTTTGACTTCTTGCGACGATGGTTCCTCTTGTTCCTCCCCTCTTTGAGGATCCTGCGCTGGAGTCGCAACTTCGCTCGGGGGAATTGCGAGATCTTTCGGAACTGATCCCTTGGAGTCACGTCGAACTTGGAGGCTTGAGAAACGAGGAAAACGAGATCAGAACGGAAGCATGCGGTTGCGATCAGCCAACGGCTTCGTGTCTAGCGTTCAACGACGCGGCAGAAACTGCTGACACGAAGCCATCGCAGCAGTAAATGAATCTTTCGCACATTGTTAGGGGATCTGATCAGGTTCAATTCGCATGCAATTACTTACTTTCTTTAATTACAACTGATTCGCTGACTATGTGTTATTGGCTACTAATATAAAAGAACTAGCATTACTGAGATTAGTATCGTCGAACACTTGCCACGATAGATAAAAATAGCAAGTATTCGATCTTATGATATTTTTTCTAATATATAAATCAAATTAAGATAATTTAATTTAATTTCATTAAAATACTTTGTAATTCGCCGATAAAAATATATAATAGTTGAATCGAAAATAAATATGTAAATTCACCCTAAAATCAGGTAACGTAGAAAAAGTAAGTAATTCCAAACACGAATATCTTTAATCGACTTGAATACATTTGCACAAACTTGCAGAATTAACATGATTGTTGTAATTAATGCAATGAATACAAATGATGAAACACGAGGAATATTAAACGGAGGATTTAAAATCTTTCTGCGTTTCCATTAATCTTTTTTCATCTCTGCAAGATTAATAATTGACAATTTTATGTCACACGGCATAATCTTTTTAATGCGATATCGTTCTCGTAGCGCGCAATTGGAATGAGAATTAATATAACATGTAACGGAAACATGTAACGGAAGATAATATAGATGGTATAGGTTTATTGGTCGCGTGTGTAGGAACGATATTCCCGATGCGGAACGTGTGCACATTTTCGATATGTATACGTGAACGATATGTATAAATCTTCGCGCGGAAACGTGACGAATCTACCACTGTGTTTGCTTTTAGCAGAAAATTCCTCTTACTCGAACGGTTATGATACCTCCCGGCTAAAAAAAAAATACTCCAATATTCTCTCTGGTCTCAAGAACCGCTTGGATTTTTATCATTTTTGTATCTGTTATTGATATCGTGCTCAACATCCGAGCTTCTCTTCTGCTGTAAACCCATCTGGTCACTACATATTTAAATAACGATGAGCAATTTTTAAAACCTGAACCATTGCGTCGAATTGACTGATATTTTTCTCGTCGTAAAAAAAAAATAACCGCCGTGAATTTAACGATTCCTCCGCGTCAATCGCCTTTTTCCTCCAATCAATTTTAATATCGCGCGTATCTGATTTATATTAGATTAAAGTCGCGAATGTTTTTATTATACGTACACCGCGAGTTTTCTACGGAATAAACAGAGAATTCCCACGCGCGCGCATAACTGACACAAGCATGTGTCAACATTCGCTCATTTAAATAAACTATGAAATAATTTCGAGTTGCGAAACTCGTTGAATACTCGAGGGGAAGTCTGCGCCTCGCGACGTGCACTTATCAATCTCGGTGGCTCTTGAAGTCCGCCAAGGCCGATTATTTTCCTTTGCGCATTTTCGTTTTACATCGGAAAGTCAACTCGTTAAATTCGCAGATTCAGCGGCGAATGAGAATCGATGCTTACGCGACGTACTCCGATTTCCGTTATCCAAGCGAGACGATGTCGCGAACGAACGCTCACTTCCGGTCTGAGCGTCTGGTCTCGCAGACAGACCGTTCGCTCGTTCGACGAGACATGGTTAAGACCTCTGCTCTGGGAGGGTGAAAACGAAAAAGGGAGAGCACCCGAGCGAGAGAAACTACAGACGCTCGTCGAGAGAACCTCAGCGAAGGAAAGCCAAGATGTTCACTGCCGTGTCCCCGGCACTCGCGTTACTGCAAACTGGCTTCCTCTGATCTAATAAACAAGACACACACACACACGCCCACACACGCGTACTCGTGTGTGCGCAAGAGCGCGCAAACGCAACGATAACGTACCGAGCGTGGACGCACGCAGACTGCCAGAGAGGCGCGGGTGACTCGCGAGAGTATTCTACGCGAGAGGACTGTTCTGTGCGTGCGCGCGCTCTCTGCGACGTGACTCTGTTTGTGTGTGTGTGTGTGTGTACGAAACATGTACACGAGGTATGCGTGCTGGTCATTCATACGTGTAAGCTTGAGTCGCATGTATATTTTACATACAAGGTATCCTCTCTGAACAATTTATATAACGATATAGTAAAGGAATTTGTGTAACCGAATTTGACTCTTATATGAGAGACATCTCTCTGTGGGAGAGATTTTGAATTTGTTCGTATATATTTAATGTTTAAAATTATACAGAAATTGAATGTTTAAGTATATGTTGAGAAATGAATGTATAAGATAGCAAAGTCTATGCTTATAGAATACGAATACGAATACGATACGAAAGATCAGCGTAATTTTCAATCGCATATTTATGTATGTTAAGTATTAAAGGAGAATTTTTTCCTCAGATTTATAATTTCACTGAATATTTATTTAACATTGAAAATCGTACGGCAGAAATTAAATATTTAAGAATATATTGAAATACATACGTAAATTGCCAAAGTTTATACATGCACATGGAAAGAAAAAAAAATCTCAAAATCGTGTAATTTGCGAAACGGAAGATTGGTATAATTTTAAATCGCGTATTTATGTATGCTAAGAATTAAAGGAGAATTTTTTCCTCAGATTTATAATTTCATTAAATACTTATTTAACATTAAAAATCGTGCGGTAGAAATTAAATATTTAAGAATATATTGAAATATGAATGCATGTATAAAGTGGCAAAGTTTATAGTGCACATGGAAAGAAAAGAAAAATCTCAAAATCGTGTAATTTGTGAAACGGAAGATTAGTGTAATTTTAAATCGCGTATTTATGTATGCTAAGAATTAAAGGAAAATTTTTTCCTCAGATTTATAATTTCACTGAATACTTATTTAACATTAAAAATCATGCGGTAGAAATTAAATATTTAAGAATATATTCAAATATGAATACATGTGTAAAGTGGCAAAGTTTATAGTGCACATGGAAAGAAAAGAAAAATCTCAAAATCGTGTAATTTGTGAAACGGAAGATTAGTGTAATTTTAAATCGCGTATTTATGTATGCTAAGAATTAAAGGAAAATTTTTTCCTCAGATTTATAATTTCACTGAATACTTATTTAACATTAAAAATCATGCGGTAGAAATTAAATATTTAAGAATATATTCAAATATGAATGCATGTGTAAAGTGACAAAGTTTATAGTGCACATGGAAAGAAAAGAAAAATCTCAAAATCGTGTAATTTGCGAAATGGAAGATTGGTATAATTTTAAATCGCGTATTTATGTATGCTAAGAATTAAAGGAGAATTTTTTCCTTAGATTTCACTGAATACTTATTTAACATTGAAAATCATACGGCAGAAATTAAATATTTAAGAATATATTAAAATATGAATGCATGTGTAATGTGGCAAAGTTTACAGTGCACATGCAAAGAAAAGAAAATCTCAAAATTGTGTAATTTGCGAAACGGAAGATTAGTGTAATTTTAAATCGCGTATTTATGTATGCTAAGAATTAAAGGAGAATTTTTTCCTCAGATTTATAATTTCACTGAATACTTATTTAACATTGAAAATCATACGGCAGAAATTAAATATTTAAAAATATATTGAAACATGAATGCATGTGTAATGTGGCAAAGTTTACAGTGCACATGGAAAGAAAAGAAAAATCTCAAAAGCGTGTAATTTGCGAAACGGAAGATTAGTATAATTTTAAATCGCGTATCTTTGTGTTAAGAATTAAAGAGTTAAGAAAAGGAAACTTTTTTCTTTCATACTTGTAATTTTACAAAATAATCCAAAGTCTTCAATTTACAAGACTCTGCCGGTATCTAACAATCTACTACAAAGAATCTGAAGAAAAGTTTCTACTTATTCGTTTGCAGTTTAGCTCGTTAAAGTTCTTTTTAATTTTCAACGTTAAATAACTCCGATTAAAGATTGAGTTCCGTCAAAGAAAAAAAAATGTCTTCTTGACATTTCAATATATAACACCATCATCTTATTATTATTACGAATCTTTTCGAGACACCGTATGCATAGCTTATAAGTAGAGAAGTCATGTGTGCGGACAGTTTGTACTCAATTGTATGGAAGGAGTGGACGTGCACAGCGGACACAAAGGTGAGAATGTGTGCACATGTCTGCGTATATACCTAGTACATAGAGGAAGCGAGAAATGCGAATGTATGTTGAATGTACACATGTACATGGCTGGCACGATTGAAGATTTGTACTGCGGAGAAGTTGGGCAAAATCAAAAGACGTGTGTGTGTATTTGTACACACGTATACACTATATTTATCTACACAGAGTGTTCCGAATTTAAATATTAAAATTTTAAGAGCGTGTAAGGAATCGATACTAAGAAAAAAAGTCCTTTAGAGATTTGCTTGTTCTTATATCTCTGTTTTGTAAAAAATTGTTAAAAATAAAAATGTTTTTTTATTTTTTCACTTATTTATTTACTCATTTATTTCCTTACTCCTTATTTATTCCGGTTGTCATTTTCTTAATGAAGGTATTGTTCAAAATGTCGATCTTTGCGACAATGCAAGCGTTGTATCTAGCTATTGACAGCTCGCAGACACTATTCTGATAATATCTGGTGCATTGCAGCTACGATTCGGCCTCTCAACTTGACCTCTCGAGTCGATTAATAATAAATTTTCAATAAAGCTAATAATTTTGTTTTACGTTTTTTGATAAAAACTTTTTTGCTTTTCTTACGATTTTCTCCAAAGCGAAGCAAAAACGGAGCAAATCTCTTTCTTTTCTTAGTTTATCGATTCCTTCTTAAGACATTTAAATTCGGGACACACTATATATGTATGTGGACTCATATGCACAGATATGAACGTCTATCTTGATGATCACGCATGTACTCCGAAACGTACAATGTCGGTATATGTAACATACGTGCTTGGGAATTCACGTGTGAGAGCGTGTATTACATGCACATACATGCGTGTGTATGTATGTGTGAGCGTACGTAGTTGGAGACGTAATCTGAACAACTCGTATCGGTCGAGCCAATTTTCGATAAGAGACGGTACGACGGTTCTACAGTCGTACAAATTTTCTCGAGATTGATAACTAGACTCTTCTTAGACTTCTTGAGAAATCGAAAATATTCTCAGCTAAATAAATAAATCTAAATAAATCTAAAGTCTATAATCTAAAGCGTCTATAATCTAAATTATTACACGATAAAAAGAAATGATTTTTCTCTTACGTATTTATATAAAAATTATCTGACTTTTGAGTAAATCAACGCGAATGCGAACGAATGCAAGTGATGTAATGTTCTTGTTGTTAGTTTGAACAATATTTTTATCATAATTACATAAACGTAATTATTTTATCACAAGTCTCTTGTTTGTAATGGCTAATTATTTAGTGAAAAGTGATTACGTAACTATGTATAATATTCACAAACGGTAAAGGTAACAATATTACAAAGATTAAGACTGTCTCACCGCTTAATTAGAAGGTCTTTGTACAAGTTTCGCGCAGATGTTGCAATATATATATATATATATATATATATATATATATATATATATATATACACACACGCGCGCATGCGGCTCTTCAACATAATAGATGCATTGTCTATGAAGAAATTTTTATATACAAGTGTATTGTCACTTTGCACGTGATCTCGTTTTGCGTACACATGTACGTACAAATTCTTTGTATATAAGCGTGATAAAAACCTTGTTCTCTTTCCCCCTTTCTTCATAATTATGTCTTCTCCGCGTCAAATATTGCTGCTTTACAGGATCAGCTTTTGCGTCAGATATTTTCTTTAACGTCGAGAAAATATTTAATGGTAAAGGTTTAAACTAACGGATAATTGCCAAGAAACTTACTTGCGTAACAAATATCAGCGTCTTTATTACGTACGTAGGAAATGACATTGATTAACGTTAGAATCAAAATATTGGCACGGACGAGAGCTGGAGCAATTGCTATTGCCAGAAGTGTAATTAAAGTGTCTTACGATGGAGAGCTTAATTGACCAGCGAAAATGATGTCATGCAATTGGCACTAGTTGTTCGTCAACTGATGGAAAATAACACATGTTCGTGTATATATATTGTATAATCAAAAATATTTATATCACATATACATTCATATATTCACGCTGATTTTACGCTAGGTCAATATTTGCGATGTTTTTCATCGAAAATTGAATGATACTTTTAGGTCAAAGTTCACCGCACATTTTTTCGCAGTAGAAACTTTTGCAATTTTAACTTTCACAAGTCTTTAATATATAATTAATCTCAGAGTTAAAATTTTATAAAGGTTTACGTGGAAATTAAAAAAAGTACTTTTCACTAATTATTAAAAAAAATTGAAAAATACCTTTCGAAAAACCGAAAAGTGTTTTTCGCTAATTATTAAAAAAGAAAAACAAAGTAATTTGATTTCCATTATTCTAAATACACGATTCTATTCGTACGCACGTTCTTACATACATTTTCGCTATTTTCCGCATATTTTACGAGCCTCGACTTAAACTATCTGTCAATTTTTCTTATGCGTCTATCTTTCCGTGTGCACAACCGGTCATTCCATCAAGTCTCCCTCTTAATAGTCGAGATTTCCATCCTTCTTCTCTTCTTCCTTATTATACTTTGACTTTTTTACATCTTTAATTTTATCTTTCCGTGACCACTGGCAATTTCGCGCGTCTTTATTTCACTCGCACGTTCATTCGTTCCATAATTCTGCTTTTTTTTTAACGAACACCTTTATCTCTTCCTACGTTTCTTACAAAGCACTAGTCCTGTGTGTCTCGGAGAGGCTATGCGCTATCTTTTTCTATTCTACAGCTTCATTATATCCGTCGCTTTCTATTCAAACGAGCTGCGTCTCTTCGTTTTTCTTCATCTCGCGTGCCGAGGTCGTTTCTTCTTCGTCTCGCGACACAAACACACGTACACATATTCATTTTTTTCGCTACTCTCCGCTTGTTACGTCACAATCTTCGTCCGTTTTATAACTGCGTCAATCTCCGTGTCTACTGCGCTTCTGGCCTTCCTGCCGCGCGTTCTATCACTTCGTGCTTGACATTGGTTGACTCCGACTGTCCGTTTTCACTTTGCTCTGCTATCGATCTTTTCATGTCCTTTTCTACTGTTTAAACTAATATTTCGCTTATTCCACTTTTCTCGCCGCCCACCAACATCGCTGTCAGTCTATATTAAGCTTTCCCTTCTTCTACTTGCCTGTCTACTTTTACATCCCGAAATCAAGAGTCTGTCGCGAAGGGTTCTATTGATTTCTTATCATTTGTTTTTGCTATTTCAAAATCCATCATCAATTATATAAAGCTATGTTTATTTCTCAAACAGGAAAGTGCAATAATAGACGTAGAAATCAATGAATTTTTTATGTGTTATGCCAATAAAATCGCATAATGTTTATAGTATGAGGATAAATGTAGTTTTCTTTTAATAACTCTAATTAGATTTAATTATATTATTAATAGATATTATTATAGATATTAATTATATTATCATTAAGAATTACAGTGTAGCTGTAAAATGTAAAAATCTGCTACGCAACAAAATGAGTGAATTTACTTGATTAACGAAAACTGTTGTACTATTTCAAGCATGCGAAACAGAAAAATAAATACTGCAGTGTACTTTGAACTATAACGTCGCCATGCGCTGCGTGAAATTCCAATGTGAATCCAAGCGCCCTATAAAAAAATACTTCGCAGTAAGTGCTTTTCTACGTGGGCGGACCTCCCACAATCTTGTAAGAAGCTTGTAGCACCGTTAATATAAATGGTGGCGAAAATGCTAGAGAAAGAACAATGTGGAGGGAAAGTAGAGACCCGAAGAATTAAAGGAAAACATTTTTGTCTTTCAGTTACGTTTTATCTCTCGATTAATTAAACAAATGTTCAATTCTCTTGAAATAACGTAGAGAAAAAATATTATTAAGTTAATTGAAAAACAGAGTTTTTCAAATAGATTGAAGTGCAGATTTATTTAATACATTCTTTAGTGAGATTTGATTATTAATATAAATGTGAGTTATCCTTGTATAAATCTGAAATAATTTGTTCTTTTTTCAAGTTATACTTTGAATGATTTTATGACAAATCTAAGATTTGTGTTACAATATGTAATCGAGAGATTCTGCTATTTCTGTTCGTGTTAATATATATCTTGTAGAGATTATAAATGAAAAATGGATAGCACAGTTTTTCATCGTGAAACTTTAACACATCGTTTTTCAGATATCCTTTTCTCGCGCTTCGGATATTCGATGTAGATGTAAAATCATGTGCTGACATATTATGATAAATTTTTCAACGAGACTGAATTTTTGGTATGCCAAGTATTCCCCGACGACCTAGATTTTCAGTAAATTGTACGAGCACATCGGGGTTTCTATGGCCATGCGTGTAATCCAACCCTAATTGAGAGCGACAAACTGCGGAGGTAAACAATATTGTTTGCAAATCGACGTTCGAAGCCCTCGGCGACGACTCGGGGTCGCTCAGACTTATAATTCGATCGGCAGACTTGTGCACATTTGCGGTATTGCAAATAAAATTGTTTGTGCTTCTTTTTGTGCCTCATGGCAGCGTCGATCGATCATCATTTCGTACACGTCAAAAACAATTGTCAAAACTTTTGATATATAATGGAACATTTAATAAAATGAAAGATTTTTTTTTTTATTTTTCGTATAATATGCAAAATATTCTTCTCTACGAAACTAAACAATTATACAAGCAGTAACGCGTGATGAGATCCCAACTAATTTTCCACATCATCAGCCACATTCTGTTCACAGTATCTCCACCAGCGTTTTTTATCCATTTTTAATTTTTAATGTTTTAATGTTTATTTTTTTTTGTAGCAATATAGAATTTGCTTAATATTGATCATAAAAGAATTATCTATGATTTATCTAAGAATTATCTATGAATTATCTAAGAATTATCTATGATAATTCTTTTATGATCAATATTAAGCAAATTCTATATTGAAAGAAAAATATCAGAGTTGACATATATTTATATGTTAAAAAAATAAATATATGAAAAATTTAATTATTTATGGACGCATATAATATCAAATAAGTATGTCGATTCTGTGGAATTATTTTAAAGGCCAGAAACTCTTACCTCGTAATACTGTCTTCTTTTTTCGCGTCTTCCGTTGCAACCTTTCCCGTAATATCTCCGATACTTGCCGTTCTATCTATCGGACCTTCGTGCAGTATCGTGAGTTCCGGTCTGTCCGGTTGCGCGAGGCTGCCAATTTTGAAAGGGAACTGTTCCTGCTTCTGGTTCTTGATCAATCTCTTGGAGCCTTCGCTTCTAGTTCTGCTGAGCCGTCTCTCCTTGATATCCTTATCGCCCTCGATCATCTCCTCGATCTCTTCGCCGGTATCGGAAACTTTAGATAAGTCCAAAAGAATCTCCGGCTTCAGGTTTCTGACGGAGACCTTGTGATCCTCGTCGGCGTCAGATTTGCTCTCCGTCAAAGTGCTCTCCGAAGTCGATTTCGCCAATGCGGGTAGCTGCAACGAAGACACGTCGACAATTTCCGGCGATGGCGCCCGCGCCAGTCTCGTTTTAACCGTTTCGGCAATGACAGCTAGTTCCGGTGGCGAATGGATCTCGATTCTTGTAACTGCCTCTTCGAACCGAAGCGCGGATGCCTCTTCAGCAGTGATAATTCTGGCGGTCACCAGCTGGACTTCCGGCAGCAAATCGACCTGGCACATAAAACGAAATACGACGAAAATGATGAGCTTGTCAAGATCACAATAGCTAAAATGAAAGCTAAATTTTTTTTTAGGAAGCATAAAATTCACTCACTTGCTCGCTCGTATCCTCGAAGAAGATTTCCTGAACGTCTTCTTGGATTCTAACACCCTTCTTCTCTTCCAACAACGATTCTCTCGAGGACTCTCTGGAAAAAGAGTCCCTCCTTTTTCTCAAGGAGCTAGGTCGTTTTGCAGGCGGTTGAACGATCGGATCGGGTTGCTGAGGGTCTAAAACGGCTGCCGAAGCACGTTCCAAGGCCGGTCGTTGCTTCTTGCTTTCCAAAGACCCCTCAATGTTCTTCGTTCTTGAATCCTCCGGAAAATCTTTCGTTTCTTTCGTCATCTCAGATATACTCTTCAGGCTCCCTTTTCTTTTTGTAGATATGATGGATGGTTCGATTGTCGTTGAGCTCGCAGTCTCCCCGTCTTTGCTAATAACTGATGGACGTTTGACTCGTTGCTCGTCTACGTTTTCCGAGGGTTCTGTCGTTTCAAAACCCACGCTCATATTAGAATAAGTCGGTATACTGTGCCTTGTTAAGAATTCGGTCACTCTCTCAATACACTCTTGTTCCTTCAGGCTCTTTCTCTCTTCCCTCGATCGTCGATAAGTTTCCCCGTCCTTTCTCTTCAGCTCCTCGTTATCCAGCGACTCCAATTTCCGCTCCGACGAATCTTCTTCCAATTTTTGTTCGAGTTTGGCGGACCTTCTTCCCGATTTCTTTGATCGTCTCCTACTTTCCTCTTTTTCTATGAACACTTTCTTCCGGGCACCCTTTTCCGACGACGTGTCGGACTTCTCCAAAGTCTCCTTCGACGTGGACGTACGTTCTTCAGAATCTACGCTGCTATGATGCTTCAAGCTCTTCTTGCATTCCTCTGCTTGAGATCTTGTAGTCGTGGTGATCCTGGATGCTTCCTCTGCGCTCGAGAGCGGTTCCTCTTGAACGGTAGGTATGCGGGAAGATTCTAACTCCAGAGACGATTGCTTCTTTAACTTCACCTTCGGCGCTACCTTCTCTATCCTCCCTGCCACGTCCTTGGTATGCCTAGGAATCCTCGTCGTTTCCACGATTATCGTGCCGCCGTACGACACGATGCTCGTCTCCTCGTGCATCGTTTTCGAAGTGGTGGGATAGAACTCGTGAATGATTTCGACGTCGTTATCGATGTCGACGTATCTGGTCGGTGATTGTTTATCCCGTTGACGAAGCTTTCCTAAGCTAGGAGGTCGTCGTGGGCTACAGATCGGGGTCACCGGGGAGGCATCCTTCCAGTGGTCCTCCTCCTCTTCCTCGTCCTCGTCGATCTCCGGTTTGTTTGTTGACGTTTCGGTCAAGCCTGTAAACAGCGGATAATCTTCGTAAATATCGCATCGATATTTTTTAAGACACTTATAGAATTCTTATCGATGCACTTGTGTTGATAATCTAAGTTAACGCGAATCTTCCCATTAATCGTCTCTGAGCAATTTCTCGATCTCCATCGTCGACGAGGATAAGTCGGTTCGCATAAATTTACTTTACTGTTTAGATTGGGAGATAGTTTCCGCGCGAAAAGATATTGCGTGTTGCCGCGCGATGTATTAAAGCGCTTTTGTATGGGATCCATAAAGGAAGTCCATCTAATTGCAAGATCAAAATTAATGTGTTCGTATGTCAGACTTGAATGGTAATGGCAAATTGCCACGGTACGATGTATCTTCACGTGCAACGTGGATATCTCGTTACTGTCAGAGAAAGGAAGGGTGAGTCGTATAGAAATCACATCATAGTGTCTCGCGAAACGAGGCGCGACGTATCTCCTCAAACAATAGCAATATCCGAAACCGTCCACGTACTCGGGAATGCATTCGTTATTGAATAAAGCGTGATTTATACGACTCTTTCGAAACAATACAACATTGACGCGATCGATAATAAATATACGAGTCCACTGTAGAATTATAAAATAGAGGGATTGATTGTCAGAATAACGTCAATTAATAAAATTGCATCGCTCATTAAACGGATTGCCTTTTGTCGATTTCGCAAAAACTTGACACAAGAAAGTACTAATAATTACCGTACAAATATCTTAAGTCTTCACGAGCTTTATTTGATTTAAATTTTCGCTTTGCACGAAGCGTTTCGGTAAAATTCATTAAAATACCTGATCTCGAGGAAAGCAGGTCCTCAAGCTCGGTGGCGCGATCGGTCGTTTCGCTCTCATTGGGAAAACTTTTGCTCCGCTTCATCTTCGGTGTCACTTTCTATAGAAATGAGCAGCGCAGAAAATGAGCAAAAGAGACTAGAATTAAACAATTGTTATAAATATCGACATCGATTCTATAATTTCGGATTATAAATAAATATTCTATTCTCTGATAGGAGAATTAGCTTACACAAATACTTAAAAAAGAATTTATTATTTTCTCAGGACGAACCAAATGCGATTATAATTGAAATAACGAGAGTTGATGTATTTATTCATAGTTTGATAAAATTACGTAACTCCAATATTTTTTTTATGCAAATACATATATCTCTGGTTAGAATTTATGTAAATATATATTTGGTTGTAATAATATGATATGGAACTTTAATTGATATAACCATAATTGATGTTGAAACAGTACAATTTTGTTTCTACGCATTCAAACTGTATTAATATAACTGTATTAATCAAATATCTCTCTTTCTCTCTCTCCCTCTTTTCCTCTCTTGTTTATATATGTGCATCTGCAAATTTTGATCTATATGCAATTAATTTGCAAAATATCAAAGAAGTATTGTAAGCAAATATAAATGCAAATAACACGACAAGTCATCGCGACAATCAATAATCGTGTGACTTTTGCTCATCGCGTTATCCGAACTCAGTTGTTTGGAGGAAAAATGACACAAGTCGTCGCTCATATATATCTATATAAGCGTTACTTTGTAATACGGTTGCCTCGTAATCCTTTCGTTACCGATAATTCAGTTAAGGAAATAGTTTCATACAAATAGGATTGTCTAGAAGTCCGCGAATGTCGACGATGCAACTCTTTATCGTGCAACCGACTGCTAATCTCGCTCTACAATATAATAAGAAAAAATAATTTATTAAATATATATATAAAAAGATGCTTCTTCAACGTATCTAATATCTATATATCGAGCCAATATCGAGGCAATATCGAGATAATGTAGATATCAAAATAAATTTGTTGCTAATATCGAAAACAAAGTATCGATTATACAACTATAAACGACATTAGGAAAAGGCTTAATCGGAACTACAAGACACTGTTTACTGAAGGTGTGCACTTCTATTGTGCTATTAACTAAATTAAATCGAAAATAAGCATCGTCAGGTGCAGTTAGATAATTCGATTGTATTCAGAGGAAGCTAATTCTACATGTTGCAAGATTGTTCGTTAATTACTTTTCTCCGGGTGCAAATGTGTGAAGCAAAAAGGTTTTTTAAAAAAATAAACAAACGCTTGGTAATCAAATAATATATGTCATAACATCACATTTCATATAAAATCTAATAATCATATAAATCTAATAATCATATAAATTGAAGAATCGAAAATTGTGATAAGCTTTAAAATGCTAGTTCTATCTTTTCTTAAGATATATGTCTTGTCTCGAGTCTTATTTATTGATCAGATATTAAATGAAAATTATTCATAGAAAATATTATTCTACAGTAGATGATTCTTACGGAACAAAAATTACATAATTAAATAAAATTATATAAAGCAAGATAAGAAATTGTGTGTCTTTAAATATGTGCTGACTTTTGTATGCTTGAAGACTTCCATATCGTTCGTAAAGAGAGCAAATTTCAATCTCTCAATAAATTTACTCGCTACGTAACATCTTTGCTGCTCGATTCGTTTCTATTCAAGGCAATCAAGTAATTCGATCAGCAAGTGACGATTAATTCGCTCGAGTGATGAAGGAATTATTATTCAATCGCGCGAATAAGGCTTTGAGATAAGAATCGTTTCGCACAAGCATTTATAAATCGAGAGGCAGAACCTGCCATACAATTTGTTACGTTCGCATAAATCTTGTTGGAAAACGATCGATTTCCTCGACACGCATAACGATAAGAGTTTTTACTATCCTGTCAATCGTTAATTTATTAGATGTAGTAAGTAATATTACGATAGAAATATTATGCGTTTTTTTATGCAAGCAACCTACTGGAGACAATTATTGCAGACTTACCTATGTCATACAGAACTTGATACATTCTATCTCGTGAGATTTTCATCCAACTCTCTCATGCAGTTTGCGATAGTGTTCGCTAACAATGACGGATTCGTGCTGAGTACCAGTTGCATTACGGAACATCCATATTATTCTAATACAAGCTTTATGATTCTTATGAAAATGATAAAGTGTTGCTAATGTGCAACAAATAGTCCAACAAGTAAATGAACTGATTCTAACTATTGACTTCAAACAATGGAATTATTTATATCAAATATTTATACGCGTAGATTTATTCTGGATGTCATGTGTTGCGTAAAAATAAAATTAATTAAGCTTCTATAATAAATGACATTAATGACGTTATCATAAAATAATAATTTCATAAAACGATATCTTTTGAGGATGAGATATAAAATACTGTAAAAATTATTTAAATAATTTGTGATGATTTCTCATTGACATTTTGTATATATATATATGTATATATCACGCTTTCTTTCAGTATACATTTCTATATTTCTGATAAAATGTAACAAAGTTAATGATACAATTTTTTGATAACGATCGGTGAATTTTAAGTACATCGAGAATGGCACACAAGGCCGCGAAAAAAATTACAAAATCGTCAAAATCGTTTAAAATCATGTGTTTGAGATTGAGTGAAATGTATATAAGAATTCCTTATCTAACAAGTGAATATTTCATCGACATAAAAATCAAAAAAACATGTCGATTGAATGTCGATTATATTAATCGATATATTACTCATTAAGGGATGACAAAAATGGGAGAAATCTCGAATAAAGGAACGAGAGGACGGGACAAATCGATTTCGTTTCTTTTTCTTTCAACCATCCGCGTGAAATTACATCGAGTGTCGCTCCTTATTCTCCCTGTCTTTTTGCTGAATATCAATATTATTATTAAATGGGCATAAACGAGGACATAGTGCTTCATCATGGTAGCGTTTATTTTCTATTTCTGTTTTGGTTTTTTGGTCGGTAACTGCGGTAAACGTATAACTCGCATCGGAAATGTGCATCCGCCTCGGCGCTTATGCCTCGCTCTGAAAAATAAAAACAGAAATATCGTGATTAGAGAGACGCGGGTGTATGTGTGGACATTGACATGTGACTTACGATACTTTCGACAATAAATTTTTATCACGCGGCATTCTTGCTAGATTCTACGAAGCGCGCTAACGTGTGACTACGATTCTGTTCTTTTCAGTCGCATCTTCTTCTTATGCAACTCTATATAACATTCTATGTAAAACGAAAAGAATGCTCATATCTTTTGGAATGATTGAATAAAGAATGCTGTCATGGAGAGAGCGTCTACTAAAAAGAACAGAAATTTAATTTTACGTGCGCTCTTAATGTGTCACACGAAACGCACGATGGGAATAGAGAGGACGAGTTTACATTTATGTAATACACGATGTATAAGTGTTGAAATGCAAAGTTTATGCCATTGTGTATTTCTTGATATCTTACATAAAAAGAGTCTTACATAAAAATTACATAGAAATTACACGTGGAAAGAAAAATTAATTCCAATGCATTCAATTACTATGTCAAAAAATACAATAATCTTTCGTTTCACATATTTTTATATATCACATATATAAATATAAAATTAAAAATTATAAATGATGTCATATCTATTCGTCTCAATAATGTTACGCGATAAAAACTATCACATTTCTTTTTTTTTTTTTTTTTTTTTTCAGAAAATATCGTAAAACATCTATCACTAACAGACTAATGGACCAATTTTTCTAACTTTTGTAAAAGTAACGTAAAGTTCACGTTTTTGTGAGAAAGAGATTCTATAATAAATCTTCAAGTTAAGCCGAACCTCGTTTTCCCAGCGAACGAGTCGAGTTCGTAAAATGTGTATCTATCACAGGCAACACAAGTCGGATGGTAGCACCGAATAATAGAGAGGCAAAACTTATATTTTGAAGCAATAAGAATGATAGCGCGAAAGAGAGATACGCGGGCAAAGAAGTTGCACGAGCGCAGTTATGACAGATACACCTGGCGCAGGTGCTTCGATAAGAACAAGCGTGACTTACGTAATAATCGTACTGCCATATGCTACGATAAACGTGTAGAGAATTGTATATTCATAAATTGTGAACTTTCGTCATCATTCGTGGCAGGAAGCCGTGTGAAAACTTACGCGAACTTTTCTCCTCTCAATTTTTCTTTAAGAATACACCAACGAACTTTGAAAAGGATTCACGTACGATCTCGGAAAACTTTGTTCGTTATAACTTATATATATAAGTACATGAGCGTTCTTTTGCTGTAATGCTATTAATATGAGTCAATAATTTTTTGTAATTTATACAATTCTACGAGCGTGCGTTTCGTTTTTGTCTCGGATTAAACTTTTCACACTATTTTTTAATCTATTTTTCATATTACTTTTCATATTCGTTCATATTTATTCTTTATTTTTTATGTCAAGGTATTGGGCCACAAAAAGTTTACAATGAAAAATTTTCACGCTCTTCACACTATATTTACAACGAGATTACGTTGTATTTTACGTCGCATGATGAAAAACGGGGATGTATAATTTCACTGTTCTCGAGAGACGTAATAGCCAATTTGACAGAAAGCTTCGTAGAATATATTCTCAGTGAATGTCTCAAGTAATCAATTTTAAACTATAACTAATCACTTGACATTTATTTCAACATATGGACTTGTGTGTATGTGTGAATTCATCAGAGAAAAATAAATAAATAAATAAAAACATTTAATATTTGAATATTTAGCCTGCTGAAGCACAAGAAATTGCGAGCATGCTGTAACACATTAGGTAGCTCTAGAAAGTTATCTGTCTTATTTCGCAATAGTAGCAGCTATCAAACTTGACTATCAAATCCAAACGAGAATGGACGGAAGGACCGGAGGAGAAATTTGGATCGTGCATCCCGAAAGATCTAAGATTGCATTTAGCATTCCCGCCAGCGAGACAACTTTTACGGATTATTGTTGTATTATGCGTATATGCGAACATCTCGCAATTAACATTTTATGCAGCTGCGTAAATAAAGCTCGCAACAGACACTACGCACATAGTGAGGAAAGGAAGTAGAATAACAACAACGATAACAACAGCGGCACATCGAAACAATAATAATAATAATTATAAAGTAATAGTAATAATAATAAATGAAAATGATAAAGATAAATAAAAGTGGTGAGACGTAATCGTATAAAAATAATAATAACGCAATAAGAATAATAATCGTGACTTTCGCGTGCCTTCGAGACGCGGTTTTTCAAAGATACAATAACAAGAGCTTCACGTTCTAAGCGGTGAAGAAAAAAGAAAGCCTGGAGGAGAATCGATTTATTACGTAACTTGCGGCTCGGATATCCCAGCGGCTACCACATCGAGGATTATGTACCATCCGTTCGCCCTGTTCGAGTATCGGGAAGGCGGTCGGAAGAGTTCAGGTATAAACAGGTTGCGAGTAAGTAGTAAACGTACGTATCGATCCCCACACGAGCCTCTTGATAATAGTGAAGAAAGGTGCCAGTGAGTAGACAGTAGTGGAATGGTAGTAGAGCTCTACAAAAAGGCGAAAAGTTTGACAATACGAGCTTGCTTGGAGAGTTCGATTAAAAATTGTTGTAAAGAGATTGCTTGTGAAGACACCAAAAGGAAAAGGCGACACAATCGGAAGAAAGAATAAAAAAAAATAATAAGAGACTTATTCAACTTGATCTTTTTACTTGCCTCGTTATACGTTCTCTCGATTTCTTTTATCTGTTTTTCACTCTTTTTTCTTTTTTTTTTTTGTTTTTTTTTTTGTATTCTCTCACTTCCGGGCTACTTTGCCGCCGGCTTGAGTCATTCTCTCTTTCTCTCTCTCTCGCACGCTCTTTCTCTTTCACACTCGGATTCTTCCCATCTCAATTTCTCTCGTTCACTCTCTGCCACTCTTTCTTTTTTTAAATTTCAACACTCTTTTCTCGCCCTTTCGCACTCGCATTCACATTTTTCACGTTCGCATTTTCTATTTTTTTTTATCTCTGACATCATCTTTCTTACCACATTTATATATCTTATTTTCGAGAGAAATCTATTTTCTCTAATAAATACACGTGTATCGCTCTCATTCTTTTTTTCTCTCATTCTCTCATTCTCGCCCGATTGCAAAGAGACAAATGGCAAATATAATATGTACGCAAAGAAACAGAATTCCTTCGAAAATGAATTTGCAGCTTGCTAAACAAAGATCACTAATACGATTGTGTGTGTTCGTGAGTTCGGAAGAACTTGAAAGTATGTGAGAGAAGTCAGTCGTATGCAATAAAGTTATTTTTGTTCAGCTACTCTCTACCAGGCAACTTTCATTCACTATTACAATCGTTTTGTTCTGTACTTACTTAGTTTGATGATCGGCAATATAAACCCATCCGCGGGGGTAAACACCGAGCGCTATTACCGAAAAATCTCTCTTTCGCACCGTTCCTCTCATCTCTTTCTCTCTCCCTGTTTCGTTCACCGTATCTTTATCGTTCTCCATTCCTTTTCTGACGCTGACGATGCAACACCGAACCGAAGATACATTCGTACACTTCTCACGTTTACCAAATGTCTGATCTTTCTCTTTTTTCCCTGCTCTCTTTCCTCCCAAATCTTTCACCGCATAAAAATGCGATACCTATCGAAAACTCGTCGGCTATCATGAATGAATTACTTTGCACGAGAGCAGACTATGGAATTATCAATTATACTGACAGAATCATTTATAACTGTCTACATGGTTTAAAAGGAATATTAATGTCGAGCTTTTCAGATCTCTCGACTGGTTTCTTACATTGAGATTCTAGACAATTACGTTTCAAGATATACGTATGTATAATTTAAATTCTAAAAACTATCAAGTTGATGCAAAATCTTACAAATGTGTGTAAAAATAATTACAAATCTCGAATAAAATGTATCTTTTTTTTTTTTTAAGATTTTTATCAAACATCAACTGTTCTATTTCAAATATATAAAATACGAAACGCGTATTGCGTTATCGCAACTGTTGTCACTTCAGCACACTTCAACACAATTCAAATGTCCTGCTCCGCAATTCGGAATGAACGAATCGCGCGCGAAGGGATTTCCAAAATTGGATCTCTCCCTCGACTTTACTTTCTCCGCACGAGAGACGGGCTTTCTCTCTCCCTGCTTAAACTGGAGCGCATCCCGAGGGAGATGCGCGTGATCCCCTACGCCAGGAGTCGAACGAAACCAAACGAGAAAAAGGTTTGCTCGTCAAAGATACGCCGTCAAAGTAACGCTGGTATATCTCATCCGAAGGTATCGCATAAATCATTCAAACGTTTGACCGTGCCTCGGAATATCGCCGAGGGCGGTCCGCTCGAACGCTCATAAAATATCAGACTTCGCCGTTTTTATTCGGTCGTTTTATGGATGTTCCGCTTGCAACGGTACGAAACGCGGCATAAAAAAACTATACAGGTACTATATAAGTATATACGTGTACGTAGATATATTAATGTTAAGGTATATACATTAAAAATGAAGTGTGTGCCACGCGTAAACGAGCTGAAATGAAAAGCAAACGATTAAATCAATGACGAAACAAGCATAGATGACGAATACAGGGAAATTGACGAATACATGTAAAGGATATGGAGTGAATGACGGACAAATGGATAATGATAAACGAAATAAAACAACATGTACGGTAATCTATTGATGTACATGCATCGTATCGTAAAATTTTATTCGACGTATAAATTGCATTTAGCTTATCCATCGATCACAAGAAGTATCAATTTCTAGTCAATTTCTATTTCATCTATACCTCGCTTCTTTCACAAATAGATACGTTATCCCCCACGTTAATACATATGAACAAGATACTTGCGAAAGTGCTTAAAGCGAGATATTATCGCAGTTATCGCATAGTGATAAACAAATTGCAGTCTTACGATTGTCAAAACAATGTGCCTTTCGCGTGATTGCGAAATAAAAACTTAATGATAGTGACAGGAAACACAATAAAAGGTAATTAACTTAAAAACACACAGATTAACACAGTTTGGGATGCAAAGCACATTAAACGCGTCCTGGTGCACTGCGATAGGTGCATGAATATTGATGTACGCGTCGCTTTCAAAAATGTGGCGGGATAAAATTATCTCCACGAAAAATATCAGCAAAAATAAACTATAATATACATAATCCATATCGAAATCCGCAGTTCGCGAGAAATTATAAAAAATAGTATGTACCTAATTTAATAAAAAACCTCAGTCATTGCGTATATAAAAATATCATTTACAATAGTATCTAAAAAATTAACGCAAGAATAATTATTATAAAGTATAATTATGCTATAAATATAGGACAATTGACTTAACTTAAACAAACTACATCATGCAGATTTATAAAATAAATTTTCTGCGATATTTATATATAAAATAAATTTTCTGCGAATCACGATAATGCTAAATAATTCCAATACAATCCAACATTTTATTATTCCGTATAAGTGTGTAAATTTGTGCTTTGGTGTCTTATGAAGCAATCGCACAAAGATGGCGAATATTAAAATATCTTTTAACTAATGCTAATGCCAATTATTTCCTCCGCAGTTCACTTTGCCGATCAAACGATTAACTTATATGTGTACGCGCAATAAAAAAAATGAAAATATGACATACTAGAAATGATGATTTTATAAATTTTAGTGATTTCCAACACATAAGACATAATGTTTCATGCTCATTACTCGACGATGCTCAAACATATGTAATATAACGTCATATTTAGTATATATGTATATGAAACGTAGCAACGTTATTATTTCACTTTTATGGACGGAATCTCGTCGGGAAATATGCATTCGCAGATTCGTGCGCACGTTTATTTGATCTGTGAGAGAATGTTAAAAAATGGGAGCACATTGACTACGGTTAACTAAACCGAAGGTAATTTGATTGCGTGCATGATTTTGATTGTGCGTATGTCGGCCGTCTCGAAGACACGCAAACCGCGGTGAAATTTAGCGGAGGCAAGAGCCTTGAGCCTACTATCCTAATTAAAAACTCTCAGACTTGACAAGGTTGTGCTGATGCTTTAAGCCCTCGATCAAATCCATGTGCGGCGGCTCGGTCACGTTAATCTTACGCTCGCGAAAATATTCCCGCCTCTGTTTGTGGCTATCTACGATCGAGGAAACGGTCGCCACGGCGTCTCTATCTCTCGTAGCCTCGATTCGATCGTCCTGATCGCTCACCTGGACAATACTGTCTGGTATTGGCAGCGGCTTGGCCACGCCGATGCGAACGGTCCCCTTCGGGGCGCCTTTGAGGGCCTGCACGGCCTGGTCCAATGTTGCGTTCTCTAATCCGATGTCGTTCACAAACAGAAGTCGATCGCCCGGTATTAACTGCCCATCGACCTGTGCCACGCCGCCGGGCACGAGCGATCGTATTACTATCACAGTTTCGTTGGGGTTCATTGGATCCTAGAACCGGGACGGAGCGGAAAAGGAAAACAAATTCGATGATTATTACAATTCGTCATTTCTTCTCTATCGAAATTGTGCGAAAAATTCCGGAAAAAAAAAATTCGCACCTGATAATCCAAAATGGAGAACCCAAGGCCCCTCTCTCCTTTAACCAATTCGATAATTTGTGGTTCGGAACTCCACATCGCCAGACCGGTCAGCGGTTCCAACGAGCGCGATTTCATTTTGTTTAGACTCGCGTCGGTCACTGTGGCTGTAGTCGTTGTCGAAGCTAAGGAACCGTCCGACTTCGCTTTCACAAGACGATCCATTGTGGGTAACAAGTTCTGCAGAGACCCGCCAAGGATGCTCTACGAGACAACACAAGTTTTCGCGGCGGTTCTTAAGGCGACTGACAACTAGAGTTCTGCACGAGTATTCGAGAATATCACTGCTAAATCCGCCGACCCAGTCAGTGAATAATCAATAATAAAGTGCTTATAAAAACTTTTGGACAGCGAGCGGGATAACAAATAGCAAGCTCATCTTTTCAGATCGAATAGGCAAAAAAATTTAAATAAAATAAAGATAAAAAATAAAATATATTATTACAATTAGAATATTTGTATTACATGGAATCGGGAGGACTCAATTGTTGTTATAAACAATGTTGGATAACTTGATGAGATTTGAATGGGTAAGGTTTTGGACGAATCGGGTAATTGCCATACAAGTTAGGGCGCATACAAATCAGATAGTAAATTAAATTTGCAGAACTCTACTGACAACGCACGATGTCGTTATCTCTCTGTATATACTCACTCTAGTCTGAAAAGCAGCCTGGTGTTGAGCAGTATCGATGGGACAAAGCGGATCCTGCGAGGCGATGTTTCTTCCACAAACCATACGAACGTTTATAGGCAACTCTTTCAGCACGCTAACCACTTCCATGTGATTGATGCCCAATAAGCGGTAGCCGTTTACCTTCAAAAGAACACGATATCGGTTTCAGATGTATAGCTCAAGAACAAGAAAGAGAGCGCTCTGTCCAAGCGCTTTGAAAGGAAAATGCTCTATAAAGCTAGCTTGGTTAAGAAAAGATACGGAAATTCGATAACCTCTAATAGCTCGTCGCCGGAGCGCAGTGTGCCGTTCTGCCCAACGGGGCCCTCCGGCAAAATCGAACGTATATAGTGATGAGGCCTTACTTCCTGGCCATTTTCCACGTCGACCGTTCCCTCTAAACTTATCCCAAGACCGCTACCTTCGGCGAATTTCTTCAACTGAGCGACCTATTTGAATAAAAAAAAGGAAAAAAGAAACGAAAAAGATATTTTTCCTTCATTCTCTTCGATTTCTCTCATGATAAAATTGCGAAAGATATTTACCACTATCTCGGTATCGGGTCCGACAATCTTTTGCCATTTCGCTTTGATAGCCGCACGAATTTGAGGTGTAAGCTCGCTCGATGGATCGCTCAACAAGGCTTCGACGTTGGTTGCCTCGTCCTGCTCGTCCGATGTTCTTAAACGTTCTCCTTCTTGAAGAACCGCGCTGTCCACGGTGGTATGAGATTCGCCTTCGGGTTCTATTTCGGTGGTAGTTTCTCCATCCTGAATAAAATACAAATATAAATTTGATAACTTTCACAATACGAATGAATACGATGTATCATAAAATTCTAAATTTTATAATTACCAAATTTATTCGAAACAATAGAACAAAAGATAAAATATAGAGCTTTTAATGAATGTACAGAATCGATCAAACATTTAATTAATATAAAGTTATTTTTAACTTTTTCTTGAAATACATCCGAGACTACTGTTAGGTAAAAAAAGAAAACATACCGCGCTCATGGGAAAACTGGGTAGGCTCGTAATCGACGGGGAACTCGGCTGAGGTAGTCTCAACTCGCTCGCGGCGATCGCTTGCTGAAGCTGTTCGAACTTTGGTCCACGTAGGTATCGCTCCAAGCAAAGGTTCACCGTTTGCCCTGTACGTCTTAACACTTCAACAGCTTCGTGATTAGTGTAACCCTGCAGGGAATGTCCGTCCACCTCTACTATACGATCGTTTATTTGGATCATTTTGCTCAAATCGGCCGCGCTACCCTCGCTAATGCTCTTAACGAAAATGCCAGAGAGCTCCTCTGCAAAAACGAAAAGCTTTCATTCACAGAATCTCAAGAATCCGATCACTCGATCTAATTAATGTCATTATCTCTTTCGGATATTTCAAATGCATTTTATTTTTTTCCTATTCGTTATTCGTATATTCTATACACTGTGGATTTTTCTTAAAATGCCGAAAACACTCAGGGTAAAAATATTCTCCGTGCGTCGGACATTCATTACCTTTCTCGCAAACATATCCAGCGATAGTGATGCCAAGGCCGTAAATATCCTTCGTAAGATTGACCGTGAAGCGCTCCATTTCTGGCAGTGAATTAATATCGAGGGGCTCCATGGTGAGCACCGGTAAATCCTGGAGCTGCACCGGAAGTGGCACCGCCGGTATAACTGGCATCGCTCCAATTGGCATTGGGTTGCGTACCACGTCCATGATGAGACCGGGTCTTGCCTGAGGCAGAGAATTCTTCTATGTCTCGCGGTTCTTTTCCAATGACGAGGGTACGATTTTTCGAGGAAAAAAAGATATAAAAAGGGAGAGGAGAGGAAAGCGGAATCGTAACGCGAAATTACGATCGCAGTTTCTCTGGCGACACACTCACGTGCATTTCAATGTCGGATTCCTGCGAGTACATGTAACCGTTGTCGTAGCTCGTGTCACCCCCCTGCACATGTCGCATATTGTAGCTCTCCGGTACGCTGTGCACCAGATGTCTGTCCAGCTCGTCTGGGTCCCCCAGGATTTTCGTAGGGACGATCGGGGCGTGACTACCGAGAGCCTGGAAAGATATCAGGAACGAGAAATTTTATGCGTCCCAATGCTGCCCTGAATTCTCTCTTTCTTTTTCTATTTTTCCCTTCGAACGGATTTATATAAAAATAAATGCAGCTTCTAAAATGCGATCCCTATATCGCGCGCGACAAGAGTATTTTCCAGGCTTTTGAATTCCCAACCGTGTGAAAATTTTCGATCCATTCCAATAAATAAAACATCAACCGACAGCCAGCTTTTCTGTAAATCTTGTTTGAATTTCTTGCAGAGATTACAGCATCGAGTTTGTGCATCATGGAATAATAGTAACGTTATGAATTTTAAGTCTGTTTACAATTGCAAAGCTGTGCATTTTCACATTTTCGTAGTTAAGTAGGATGAATCTTCCTCTCTCACTTGGAAAATAAATAAATTAATTTGTTACATATTTGTTATGTACATGTAGAAAAATTTCTCTGGCTATTTGTACGATCCTGAAGTAAAGAATCGCAACCAAAGGGCATCATAAGTATCTTATTGTCAATGTTTGCTTTTTTATTATTTTCACAGACGTCGGGGATTATCTCGCGGATACGAATTTTATCGCACTTCGTTTCGCACCAGCGTGACAGGCCACGGGGGAACTTTATCGGACCTCAACAAGTGATATTTACAAGTCGACAAGCATCAGGGGACGGTTTGTTACAACCCTTTAAAAAAAATTCATCGGGAGAGCGCTTGTGTATTCCGTAGCTGACGGAGCAGACAGGTCGCTGGCTGTTTAATATTCGCGCAAAGAATGGCTGGCGGAATTATACGCGGAGCGGGATATAAATATCGATCAGAGGTGCGATAAAAAATTGAAAGACCGTGGCAACTCTGGTCTATTTTTTTTTTTCATTTTTTGTTTAACTTTGGAAATGAAAGAAGTCGAGTATACTTCGACATTTTCCATCCTTATTTGCTTTCGTCGGAGGCATAATGAAGTATCTTGTTTCCACGAATATGCCCATGCATTTAATGCACACGATTCGATTATTGTAATTGGAAGTAAACAGTGTGTAAGAGTTGATTTATTGGACCAAGCGTTAGCATTCCCCCTAACGCAACGTGTCGCTCTTATCTTTTGTTTGCTAAATGCGGTAAACAATTCATTTGTTATAAGAGAGACAAACTCAATTCTCTGCCCTAGTTAGATTTTCAATTTTAATATGCGGCGTAATTTCCATTTCTCGCGATGCTCCGCGCACATGATAAATTCCAAGAGTTTGTCCATCTCGGGATGGTCGTGGTTACGCTTTGGAATAATAGAACCATCACGATTCGAAGTACCTAGGTGTATTATTTATAATCCCTGAATTACAGCTCATTCTGTCTCTCCCAGTCGCCGTTGCTTAAATATGCAACCGCTCCGAGAATCCCGATACATTTTTTCCCTCGCGGCTCTTCCCGGATCGAAAAATTTTGCTTCTATTTTTAACTTTACAATTTCTCCACGTTTATGAATTCTCAAGGAATTCGATGGATTACTTTATACAAGACTCGAGCTCTTCTATATAGTTTGTATATCAAGCAATCAGTAAGCGAACAGTTTCCCATATTAAAGGTTTAAAAAAGAAGCTAGAAGCTGCAAGTAAATAAATAGTTTCCAAAGAGATCTAACTATTTAAAGTATCATAAAGTATCAAGGTAGATGTTAAGTTGAAAATTGAGATGAAAAAAAAATTTCAACTTGCGACCACTTTTCCGCAAGATGCGCGAGATCCTTGGACACGAATGTCGCGATATCGATCGCGTTCGGTCGCCATCAAATCAGCAATATATCGTCGTGATGGTTTGCAATTTAACACAATTTCGTGCGTGAACTCCGACCCCTAATTCGGGATAGTACGCATATAACGGAAATCTGACAATGACGTACGCAAATCACTCCGTACCATCAATCTCTGGGCACGACGGACATCTTGAACACCCGTATCGGAATTTAATGGTTGCATTGTGCACTTCTAACTACTTTAAATACGTAACGTTGCGAAAATGTTCTGTGTGCGAGCTGAAAGTTTTAAATCCTCGTTTCTGCAGCGCGAGCAGGATTACACGATTTTCATGGAGAAAGAATGCAAGCTGTTAAGAATGCATTGCAAATTATCGAATGAATAATAAATACATGGACTTAGTGCAACGTAAAAATTATTAGTTAAATTTTAAATATTATAATTGCAAATAAATAAATAATACAATTACACGTAGTAAAGTTAAATATCAATTCCATTTGTATTATTTTGAATATTATATATTATATTGTATCATTTCTTATTCTTTCGAATCAAGTTAGAATGTGTAATTATTGAATATAAAATAAATATGATAGATACAAAATGCTTTATATAAAATGTTACAAAGTATTTTCTTCAAAATTTGATATTATACAAAAAATGTTTCAAATAAAATTGAGAAGATTTTGAGGAGGAAAACATTGATAATTTAAATTTTAACTAAGATCATTTCTCAAGATAATGTGAATTTTAACTAAGGTCAGTTCTCGAGATCAATCAATTTTACCCATCAATTTTGTCTGCAATATTTTTTATACAATGTCAAAATTTGAAAAAACCTTGTATATAAGCCACAGAGCTTTATTTAAAACAATGTATTTATAAATCATAATATAATAATTATAAATCATAATATTTAAACATAGTATCTCAGATTTTATATTTTATCTGATTATTCCAAGCTTCTGAGTACTTAATAAAAGCAAGTAAGAGAGTCTGTTGACAATAATATAGTTGATTGATAATTGTAGCTGCTTATAGTCTACGCTGTGGGCGTTTGAAGCAAATAAAATACGCCAGAAAATACGCCGTTTATTAGTCGTAATTCCGAACACGGAAAAGAGAAAGGGAGAAAGAGAAAAAAAGAGAGATTGCGTAAGTAAAAATACCTGATAATCCGGAGAAGTTGGTTCCACAGGTCGCGCGACAACAAGGCGCACGTGGGTGCCCGATTGCCGTAAAACCGCGGCAACTTGTTCGCTTCCCATCCCGCGGAGATTGACATCGCCGATCTGCAATATGTGATCCCCGCTCTGGAGCCGATTATCCTGCGAACATACAATGCGAGAAGAAGCGATTTAATTTCCGCGACCTGTTATCCAGAGGGCAAACATTGATGTCCCGGATCTTATGCTCGCCCCGCGCTTCTCATTTCCTGGCCCATTTCCGAGTCGGGGTATACGCGCGCGTCTAACACAAAAATTAAATTCACAGAGTCATATTCGCGTTGTGCATGCATCATGAATTTGAATAAATGTAGCGTGAGAAATCTAGAGTGAAAGAAGGCGTGGGAGGGATACAAGATGCACGCGACGCCACCGTATGATTAAGTGAGCAACTTATCAAAAGTTAAGCCCGTGATTAATGAGGAAATTTACTTATTAAGAGCTAAATCCATGATAAGAATTATATGCCACGACTATAACATATTCTAATTAATACTGGTTATCTTGGAGATGCGCAAAAAATTACTTTATCATACAATGTCATGGAAAGAAAAGAGATTATTTAGAGATTTCGCGAGAATTTCAACGCTACGAGCAAAGAGATATTAATTTTTTATTTGCTTACGCGATCGGCAACACCTCCTGGAAGAATGGTTTTGACGACGACGCCGGTGCTACGTCCGCCGATGATGCCGAATCCAAGACCGCTGCCATCATTGATGAGATTTATCACTTCAACTTGAGCCCATTCCGTATTCAACTGCGAAAGAAAAGGTCGCAAAGACGTTTATAGACCCGTACTTAAAATAATTTTAATAATATTTTAATAATATTCTTTAATAATATTCATATATTCTTTATTCTCTCGAATGATTGAACGATATGAAATGAAATCTAAACTGACAGCAAAGATCTCACATTTACATTGAATTTTTATTGCAATCAGCGAACATCCATTAATAAAAAATAAAAAATAAAAAAAAAATGAAAGAACAAAAGTAATTCTTTTCTCTCTCTTCCCTTTTAATTTCAATATATTTTAGATTAATTATCTTTTTAAGGTTTAAAATTTTATTACGGCAAGAGAGATTATATTTTATAAAAGATTATTTTTGATAGCGAATGCGAAGCACAAATGTATTCCATAATATCATTCATTTGCAAAAATTTCAGAACAAATGCCTCTGCGGATGTATTTTTCGCAAAAATTTCGCACTTTGTACGCATCCATAATTCTAATAACTGTAACTTATACCACAAAAAGAGAGAGGGAGAACGAGAGCGAGAGAGAGAAGGATAAAAGAAGGATAATGAGGATATAGTGGGTGGAAAATAAGAATAATGATGGCACACAGTATCTACCCTACTGTGACATATTTTAACGAACTTAACGAAACGAACAAGATTATTTGAGACTTTTCACTAACAATGAGATATTTTGTTTGTCATGTCAACATATTTCGCATAAAAGCTGGTTTAATTTAAAGGGGTTTTCCCTATTATTATTTTAAATATTAAAATATCCTGAAGCTTTTCTGGAGTATTTTTATTTATTTTCCATTATTTCTTATTGTAAAATTATTGATTACAAAGTTGTTGAATATAAGAGTATTTATAATTTAAATATAATACATATATAATATGTATATTATATTTAAATTATAAATCCTCTTATATTTAATCACTTGAACTGTAATCAATAATTTTACAATACAGGTTTGTGCTTTTATATGGATTTTATTTTTTTATGTGGGAATCTGTATAATGCTTTTTTAATTTTTATAATCAATAATGTATAATTTCTATTTAAAATCAATACAATAACAAATAGAAGCGATGCAATAATCTCTGCTGGCAATATATATTAGGCCATTAAATTTGATTGGTTCTCCAGAGTTTGCTTCGTTATCGTCCACGGCCACAATTAACGAGCTATTTAATATTGATGTTCCGATTTCCGATAGAGCTCTTACAGAGAGTACAATAGCTCATATCTTCCGGGGGATGAATCGTGGCCAAGATTTCCAATCAATTTTTCATCGTTCACCTCCCCGGTTATCCCGATATTGTGGTATTGTCGAAAAATTAATGAGATTTAATTATGCTAGGATTTCGGCTCCCGTCAATTTTAAGCGGCCACAGAAGAAAAAACGCGATATTATTTATTTCGCGTATTAATAATCCTTTCAAAATCGAAAACGCTTGAAAAATACGCGAAGAGACGGGAAGAATCGCAAGTGGCAAGAGACGAAGCTGTTCATTATCGAGGCGAAATTTCGTAAAGCTGGCGCGTTTCCCCGCGTTCCAATTTATTACGAGTGACACACCGGACAGTTGGTCAAATTTAATTAAAGCGTTTTTACCGGCGGTCGCATTTCTTCCGAGGATTAAAGGGACGCGGAGTTATTGGCTCGTTATAACGTCGATCCGATAAATTTTTTATGATCCGGTAATTGGTCCGTGCAAACAAGGATTATATACATATGTATATAGAACGGGCCGGGTACACATACATTATTTTGAAAATTCATGTTTCCCTCCCTTCCTTCTCTCTCCTTCCCACCCTTTCTCTCTCTCTCCCTCTCTCTCTCTCTCTCTCTCTCTCTCTCTTGCAGTTTGACACCGAAAACTGCACTGAGAAACGGAGAAATTGAGATAGAGAGAGAGAGAGAGAGAGAGAGAGAGAGAGAGAGAGAGAGAGAGGAGAGAGAGGGATGGAGAGAAAGGGAGAGAGGGACATGGCCGAGGGTAATTTACATTGCGGGTGTCGTACAAACGCGCGCGTGCGCCCGCGGCGTGTATATGCGTACTTTCACTAATGAAAGATTAAACACGCAGCCGTACAAGCTTAGCGAAGCAGGAAATTCGTTTGAAAGAGACACACGACACGGCGGACTCACGACTCCGGTCACGTTGACGTCATTAAAGATACAGAGTGTTCTTCGACCGAACTTGGTTTAATCCGATAATCGTTTCTCGCACAGCTCAAAATTAGTTTTGGAATAAGTAATAAAGCTCCGTCTCTGACGCAGCGCGCGACGACGTCGGGGCTACTTTTCCCAGTCACAAAAGCGGAAGAAGAAACCGATAATCAATCCGTTAAAGCCGAATATATATATATATTACGGTGCTTTCTATTCTTATCTTCAAAAGCGAAAGGAATAATGTAAATCCCAGTGATATCCCATATTTTATACTTCAATTGGTTTTAATTATTATACTTTAACTCTCTTTTTATAGTCCACGTAATTTAAAAAAACTAATTATACTCTTAGATTTATTTTTTACAGTAAAATGATAATATTCTTTTAGCAAAAATATAGAATGAGTCAACTAACAAACTATTTTACATCTTAAATTATATATATATATATATATTCATTATTTAATATAATTTAAATTATACATATTCATTATTCAATAGTTATTAGATTATATTCAGTGAATTTCGAAGAAACTTCATACAATAACATACGAGATAAGAGACATTTTATTGAAACGATAATGTTGAAATAATAAAGCGTGTTGAACGTACTGTAAATCAAAATTATTGATTTCGTAGGAAAATATTGATTTAATATCTATTAAGTCAATACATTTAAAAAAACTAAACAAATATATTTTATTTAAATAATGCAGAGGTAATAATACGTATAATTGAGCAAAGTCCCATCGATCGGCTTTTATTGACAGCACAAGAAGTTCTCGTCTATAAACTTATTATTATCTCGGAGAAAGTCGCTGACCTTCGCCGGTCAATCGAATACGTAGGTATGACATTTGCATAATGCTAATAGAAAAATAAACACACTGACAGATGTGTACGATCGAATATCTTGAGAATTCGCTAAAATTCTCTTTATACTCACGAATAATATAAATATTATACGATAAATAACGTATGAGATACAATGCGATAGATATGAATTTGTATAAATATCTCAATATATTTTTCATAAACGCAGATAAATATTAAAAATCGTAACATCGCGTAAACTTTATTTTCTATAATAATCGCGATTTTGTTTCACGAGGGAAGAAAATACGAGATAAAAAAAGTCAATATTTTAAGTCACGTGTTAGATTTAAACGCCTGCTGAAACTTGCTTCGTAATCAATTCCGTTTCAATTCGCGTTATTTATGAGCGGTTCCACCGTTAACCGATATCGCCGATAATACAACAGACTTTTGTGCAAACTTTGAACAACAGCGGAAGTGTGTTAATCTGTACATCGTTCCATTTTCGTCGGATAAAATTAATTGCGACGGAATATCGAAAACCAGACACACCGACGCAAACATACAGAAAGCCATAGATCTAATTCAAAGGAGGAAAGTGTCAATTTGTTACGATTAAATGTTCCATCGAAATGGCATCGTCACGAGGATAAACGATTCCACAGTTTCTCACCGATAATGGACGATAAATTTTAAAGATCACGCAAACCTTGCCTGCAGAGAACCGGTATTGCCCAGAGAACGGCAGCGAAACTCTTTACCGATAATTCTATTTCCATCGCAGCCACCCACCCCACCGCTGCTGTTATCGCGCCCGAAGACAGGAGGAGAGGAAGAGGCGGATGAGGGAGGGGGAAAGCGAATGGGCGCCCAATTTATCTACGATTGAAAAAAACCACTCGATCTAGATATATCGAAGAATGTCGAGAAATTGGGAGAAATCGCTGCGTTTCGTTCGGCTGATCGAAAACTCTCCTGGTAATCGATAGGTTTCGAATAAACTACTGCAATTAACTGTTTAGGATTGCTCTTCAAAATATTCGATATATAATTCGATATAATTCGATAAGCGCGCTCGTGTAACATGTTAATATATTATTTTATGTTAATTTAATAATGTATCAATAATATGTCAAACGTATCATTGAAATATGGTAATCATGAAAATATGGTTTACCTAGAGGAGATGAATAATAATAACGTTTTCGTATATATAAAATTATCGCCGGGATTAAAGAGAAAGAGATAATTAAAAGCATTATTTTGCACTTATTGCATATTCATTAACGTCTTGATGAAATTTTTAAAAGTAGATCGAACGAGAAACTAAGATTAAAAAAGATCCTGAATATTTTCTTAAAAATTCAACTTGAAAAAATGTAATAATATCTCATATATAAAAGGTTATACTCCCAACGTATCCATACATGAGAGATGTCCAGTCGATATAAGATAACAACAGATATAAGATAAATATTATTGGCGAGAGAAATGTATCGCCTCGAGATGTCGGCAAAGCCGTACCAATAATTCTATTTCCGTTGTAGCCACTCCATTATTTCTATTATCGCGACTGAAGGGGAATAAAAAAAGGAGGTGTGTCGCATGGAAAGGTTCCTAAATGAGGCCAATTATGCCAGGGCTATTGATCGGGATTTTATCGGCGTGTCATCACTCGAGCGGCTCCAGTGTAAATATTTCTTTCGGCCCGTAGTACCCTCGAGTCTGAGGAAGGCTTTGCAAAATTTGCTGTATAAGACGATCTCGTGAATACTCGACTATGAGCTACAGGATAAAATAAGAAGGCTGTCGAGAGAGCAGCGTGCTTATTAAGAGGCAATGAAGAACATCCCTTTACATGGAAAAGTATTCAGCACAATGGTCTCTGTAAAGAGGAAAGATCCCGGATCTTTCATTTCAGCGAAAGAGAAAAAAACAAAAGAAAAAGCGAGGGAGGGAGAGACCTGAATTGTTAAATCGGAAGTAAAATGCTATGACCTCGTGAAAAGAAATCAGTATCTATAATCTAATCATCTCTATAGAACAATGTGTTGATTATAAATGAGAAAAACAATTTTAAATAGATTATATAAAGAATTTTATAAGATATATAAGAATAGATTGTATAAAGAATTTTAATAAAATTTTAGAATACTTAATTTTAATTGTCTTCTAAAATGCCCGAAAAATTCCCGACTTGATTTTTTTTTTTCAATCAAATTAAAAGGTCAGTCTAAAGAACGAATCAAGGAATCGGTCTTGAATCAAGGAGGAAGAGGGAAAAAACTTACCACCATGTCAGAGCCACTCTTGGAGGCGTCGCTGACGGCGGAGGGGCTCCTTTCGATAACGAGGCCTCCAGGTATCGGTGTCGAGGTCGGCGTGGGTGTTGGCGTATGTGTGGGCGTCGGGGTCGCCGCCGAAGTGGTGCTGGCCGGTTGGCTTGACTTCGGGGTCGGTCCCGGTGTAACGATGGTGGATGACACTGACACCGATTGATCCTTGTCGGAACTTGTCTGGTTGTTCCCAGCAGCGGCACCGCCGCCGCCGCCGACGATGGACGACGCTGCTCCTGCGGCCGCTGTCGAACTCGAACCACCGGACAATTCATCCGTTGGCAAAGAGCTCCCAACGTCTGTCAACAGCAGTACACGGTTTCGTCAATTATTTAACTCCATCAAGACGTAATTTCATCAAGACGTTAATGAATATGCAATAAGTGCAAAATAATGCTTTTAATTATCTCTTTCTCTTTAATCCCGCGATAATTTTATATATACGAAAACATTATTATTATTCATCTCCTCTAGGTAAATCATATTTTCATGATTACCATATTTCAATGATACGTTTGACATATTATATTGAGCATAATATTGCCATCTCGGTATTATATATCATATAACTAATGAGAACGCGATACTATAATTTTTCAGAAAAATATTACTTGTACTATAGAATTTTCTTTTGTTTATCATCAATTGTACACAATAGCGACAAAAGATATAAAATCCTATAGATTAAACTTGTGATTCTTAATTCGAGCGTACTATTCATAAGAGATAACATTGAAAAATAATTGCAAATGATTGGAAATATTAAGAAATGTATTTGCAATATTGTTTGTCAACATATGATTTCTATCAATGTTAAACTAGATCCCGGCATAATTTATTTGTTTACATATATTGTGGCATATATCGTATAGAAAAAGATTGTTGAAACGTTTCAAAAAAATTTTCATAAGGTTATTTTTTTGTATCAATTTTATAATACAAATGAAATATTAAAAATGTAAAATTACATAAATTAGAGTTGGAATGTTTTTCTCTAATATATTATTCATAAGATAATATTGGAAAATGATAATAATTACAATGCATGTTTTATTAATATCATCAATATATAATTTCTCTATCGATGCCAAACAATTTATTCATTTGCAAAGAGTTCTCAAACGTCTATTGAGCAATCACAATCACTTCTTATTATGTAATCTTTCAATTATTATGTAACCTTTCAATTATTATGTAATCTTTCAATAATTATCTAATAAAATCTTGTTTGTGACATGAAACAATTGTTTTCGATAAATTCTCAAAAATAAATTAATACAGAAAGATATGCAAGGCTAACGCTTAAAAAAGGGCCCATAAAAGTTGTTCGAATGGTTGAGTTGTTCGAATGTTGAATTAACTTTGCGAAATTGTTAACACATTTATGAAATTCCGTGGTATAAAATAATAAAAGTTAACATTGCGGTAAAGCGACATTCTCGCAAAGCGACTATTCGCATAGCGTTATTCGCATCGCGTACACGCATGGACAATCTAGGACGAGTTTGCTCTGTTCCATATGCAATGACCATGCCAGAAAAAAAAAAGTTAGCCAAACTAATTTAGCTCTCCGCGACGTGAGAAATTCAACGAAAATCAAAATTTATACTGACACGAATACCGTTCATCGAGAAATTACCATATAATGATTTTTAACAATATCTTTTTTTCTTATCACATGCACGACATTGTTTTTATAAAGATTACATAATTGCAAGGAGAAAATATATCTGGACGAAAACAAATTAATTTAAAAAATCTATACATAATGATATTTGACCTATGAATAATTTGAATATTCTGCGATAAATACTGAACCATTGCACTCAAATTTGTGTGCAACAACCATTATGTTATTATTTGAATACGAAATCATCTTCTTTGCAAATCTGCATTTCAGGTTTTTGCGAATCGTAAAAACCTACGAGGAAGATTTCAATTTCCAACATAAACGAATTGGCAAGATTGTGGTAATTACCTTGGGTGCTTCTTGCTACGACTAGCTCAACCAGACCACGGGCCTTCTGAAGGATCGAGATCGCCTGCTCATGAGAGATGTTCGAGTCTAAAGGCTGCCCATCGATCGCCAATATTTGATCACCTTCTACCAATCGGCCGTCGCTGAAAACAAAAATATCTTAACTCGATATACATCGTCTACAATGGAGCGAAAGAAAATGCGTGAACGTTTCGATCATCGTACGTGAAAATGATAATAAATCTCAAGGTAAATAAAATAGATTGCGCTGATTGAGTGAACAGATTATTCGTGATAGACGCAAAATGGCATACGCGGCAATCAACTGTATTGTCTGCCATTGACATTTCCGGCCGTTGCGCGTGTTCGCTTTACGCATTTCGAATTGGGTCGCTAAATAATCGAAAGGCGATCGATAATCAACTTATTATCTAATAATGCGATATGAATACGCTATGCAAATACACGTGGCGCTAACACGCGGAATGATTATAATTAGATTGGTGTGTCATCGACCGGCTCGTCAAATCGTTGCAATTTTTATCTGCGCCAGGAGAGAACTCGTTCCTGAACTTTGACACTCGTGATCCCTCCCCTTGCCCCTCCTCTGGTTGCAACCGCGTGTAATTACTTGACGCGTTTTAAAATTCTTTAACGACGCCCATTTAAACTTCCAATCTCGTTTTATGTAACTATTAAAGAAAAAAAAAGATGCTAAAGAAAAATCTACGACCGCGGGTGATGGGAAATTACGATCGACGGGAAATTACAACCGATACTTGAAATTTTATTCCATTATGTATCCTACATGTATTATGCATATATAACGCGCGGATTATCATACTTGTGTAATATCGCGGACACATTGTAATATCCCGCGAGATTTTGTTGTCACGTTCAAAATAAGACGTCGCGCATGATAAAACGCCACGCTAGTATAATATAATACCTATTATAAAACCCGCTTTACTTTTTCCAATTCCGGTGATTAAATGTTTAGCGAAGTTGCCGGCGAAAAATGTTTGCGAACGAATAAATAAATATAATTGACGGCAACTCAAGCCACATCGTGCAATTTTTTATTAATTTCCCTTTACAAAAAAAAATCGTCAAAATTATCAAAAGTATATAAAACGTATATATGCTGTTTAAAGTGGGATGAAATTACAAATGACAGATGAAAACTCATAACTCAGTCGAGTCATCTCTATGTCATAAAAAAAATTTATATCACTCGAGAGACAAGAAAAAAGATGATGAGGAACAGATGGACGGTATACTTGAGATGAATGCAACACAGATTGTCATAATGCAAAATTCCCGCCACGTCGTGTTCTTATTGTCAGATTCGGTCGTCAAAAGATAGCGGCATATCGATGCAGCTTGACTGAAGTGGAACAAGTGGAGCAGTTGTACGAGCGCCCGCAATCTGTCGAGAAATCCGAACGACAATACGACGGGCGAAAGGCGGAATCACGGAGGCAAGTCCGATAAGGGAGTTTTGACAAGCGGCAAGTCGTCCGATATATCTGACTAATTAAATTTCTCTCCGCGATGGTCTTGTGTACGACACGAGGAAACTGCAGTTCGCGCAGAGAGTGCACCGTCTTGTAAGTCGCGTAATTAAATCGGCTTGAGACACTCCTATTTAAAGCGCATCGGAACGCTTTCCACCTCCGGTAGATACCGGAAGCCGAAATAAGAAGCGCTATAGCTCCTCGGAATGGAAGGTAACGCTTCGGATATAGAAAATAGGATCTTGTTCAATTTAATTTTAGGAATGCAAGTGGAAATTCTATTCCCTGCCTTTATAAAGTTGAAATTCACACATTCTCCGAACGAAATTCTATGTATCTTACACGAAAATAGCAAAGTGTTCTATTTTCCAGTCTCGCATTGCGATGTGATAAAAATAAGATTTCTCAAATATCTTAAAGGAACCGTATATCAGATGACAAAACGATAGATTTTTTTTTAATTTTTTAAATTGTTTTTTAATGTTTTTTAATGTTTTTATCTCAGATATATGATATATAATATATTAGCAATAACAATATTATTATACAGGATATTTATTAATAAGTGCGAAAAATTTTAGGAGATTCTTTCTCGAAAATTAAGGGGGGTTTTTCATATAAACATATAATCCTACATCCCCCATGTAAACTTACTCCTCCGAAAAGGGGGATAAAAATTGGGTTTTCATTTTTTTCCTCAAATTTGGAACAAGTTAAAGAAATGAAATTAGATGGATATTTTCTACTAGTAAAAAGATTATTTATTAATATTTTTTTCAATCTCCCGTATTTAAGGGGATGACACTAGCAACCTCTATTCAATTTTGTATTAGAACCTTTTTGTTTATATGAAAAACCTCCCTTAATTTTCGACAAAGAATCATCTAAAATTCTTATTAAGAAACATCCTGTACATCATTGTTATTATTATTATTATTATTTGAAAAACAAACTGTTAGCTTGTGTAATCATCTCGGTTAGACATAACTGATACAAAAGATATCTGTGAAATAACAGGAAGAGATATGTTGTGTATACAACAGAGAAAGTTTCAAGGATCGATGAAACTGCAGAGTAAGAGTCTTTCATTGTGATTACGCTATCGCAGAGAAACATCATTATCTCCGTTATTGCTTCCACGTGCCATCGTTTATCGAGTAGTGTATTCTCCGTGACATTTGGCATGGCACGCAAAGCTACGCTATGGCATTTAATGGCACGATAGTGGTCGCGTTACCCAATTTCCGTCAAAGCGAATTTCGATGCCCGTGCTGTCGCTAATGATATACAGACTCGGTCGGTTCGGTCACGGTAATCTACGTCTCGATTTTCTGCGGTTCGGACAGGCGCTTGACGAGATCCGGTAGCGACAAAAACGTATCCGTAATTACATGATATATCTGATGGAATTGTGTCATCATGAAACGCAACTAACAGAGCTACGGTCTCGTGTGTTTAAAGAATAATCAAATTCTGGAGCAACTATTTCGAGTTTCGATGAACGCGAAGCACGTTACGTGAAAATAAATGCAAAATACATACTGATGAAAAAAAAATAAAAAATAGATTATTAAATTTATTGTGACCATTTTTTATATATTCTTACATTACTCTATTAAATATTCGTCTCTCTTATAATTAATTTCGTATATTACATGTATACGTATTAATTTCGTATATTATATGAAACGTTCTTTCCGGAGATAGCGTGCAAGAATGTTACTGGGTCATGCAAACATAAATCTAAAACTATATTAACAGGTTTCGCAGAAATTTACTTGCTGCTAAATTGTTATTAATTCAAAGTTAATTCAATTTCAAGGTGTAAATTAATTCAAAGCATTTTAAAAACAAGAAATAAAAAATCTACGTGTCAAACAGATTATTATAAGAAAAAATAATATGCTCTATAATAATAAACTCTATAATAATAGAACGAAGAGCGAATAAAATATAGACCCCATTGGCAGTGTAATAAATATCTAAAGACGGAATAATAATAACGTTCGCTATAATAATATAATCGTATAATAAAGAAAAAAACTCAAAATTAAAAGTACAAATAAACATATAAACTCATTGTGATACGAAGATATTAAAGAAATAGAAAAAAATTACGAGTTACCGACGAAAGAAAATAATTAGTAAATAACAATACTTTGTATCGGATTCCTCGAGACCCTCTCCGAATAAAAAATTCTCCGAAAATATAATATAACGGCAATAATAAAAATTTCCCCGTAATACGCATAAAGTATAAAGAATGCAAAATATAAGACGCAAGAGCGATTGAGTTAATGCAGGAGACAGCGCCAGGTACTCGACGAACACAGAGTACATAGAAACGCGAGAATGGCGGTTCTCTCTCGCTAGTGTTCCAGTACCCTGTAAATTATGAATGAGACGGATCTAGAGAGTCTTGTGTATACCAAGCTCTTAGATTACTTTCGCAGCGCACCCGCGCGCCTCAAAGTACGACGGTAGAAAGGGTCGTGAGGGTGGACGGTGTTCGTCCTCGTAGGAAAACAACGGCTACATAGCTTTGCTACAAAGCCGTGGAAAGTTTTAAAGCCGTCTTTTAACATATGCGAAGAGATCACGTCTACACAGACCGGTACGGTAAAATAAAAAGAACACTTATTTTTTTCTTCCATTTAAGATTACAACGTCGCTTCGTCAAAGACTCGTAAAATAACGAAATAACGGAGTGAAACATCGATGTTGAAACATGTAGCGAACAACGTAGATATTCGATAGAGATATTTTTCCGCGCATAAATAATTGGCGCGAAATTCTATGCCGATTGATACAAAGGGAATTAAAGATCCAATGTTTGACACAATGAGAGGAGAGAGTTTAACTATCCATTGTTCCACGCTGCAATGTATGTAGTTATACGGTCCAGGTTGGCACAGTAAACTTTCGCCGAATTTCCAAACTGTTAGAGAACAGCTCGGGCTCATACTTTGTATAAAACGCGTCCATTATGCAAAATCACCCACGTAAATTCTGTGGAAACTGCAAGTGCTACGAGATAATTACGTAACTAGCTCTTAGATGCAATTTATGTGTTCTATGTAAATAATACCGACAAATAGTAGCTACGTTGAAAAAGGCACCTTTCCAATTTGCTAAAGTTTATCTCCATTTATCGAAGACGGAAGATATATAATAGAACTTGTGCATATGAGACTCCGAAATATATTTAATCAAGTGCACAGAATTAGATACGACATAATTTGAATACTACGAGTCTTTCTCGGATTAATCTGATCGATTTTCGGAACCGGCTTCGATTAAACATCGTTTACAAACACTTCAAATCCGAGCGCGTTTTGATTTGAATCGAATCTTGCAAATGTTATTAGTCTGATGACCATCGCTAATTGCAGAACACGATCGGACTGTAAACATGAAAATAGAATGAGGTAGATTGTGCGCTTGAAAGAGTAATTAAGCTCTACAATATTGTGAATGTAGTCGAGCCATTTGAAAGAAACACTGGCTGATCGTATCGTTCTCTATATAATAATTGAATAAAGATATTTTTAATTAAAATTTAAAATTAAAGTCTCTTGAGTTTAATAGGATTTAAATTCCATTAAAATTTTGTAAAAAATTCCCTA